AAGTAGTTCGAGATCTGACGTGCTTTTGGAGTGTGAACAAAGGAACATTATGACGCACCTAAAGTCCTTGTCTTCTAATAGCATGTTTTCCCCTATAATCTATCTTGTCCATAATTACTATCGCATTTGTTTTGTTTCGTAAGGTGAAGTCCAGGATCTTTCCTTAATTCATGGTATATAGCGTAAGTTATACCATGAATTAAGGAAAGATCCTGGACTTCACCTTACGAAACAAAACAAATGCGATAGTAATTATGAACAAGATAGATTATAGGGGAAGAATGAATGTGTTATTAGAAGACTGAGGAACTTACGTGTGTCTTAGGGAATTCTGAGGAAAACAGCGAGCCGGATTTCACGTATTAGAGACGAGGAGTCGTGCACAAGGATAACATGTGGGTATTGCGGTTCAGAAGTTCACATGAACTGTAATGTGCGCGAGCTTCTGCGAAACAGGAAGTTAATGATTTTCGTGTCTTGTTGTAACCTAGTTTCACTGTGCACTAAGGAAGGAGGATTACGGAATTAGGCCTACCAGTGCTGGCATCACAAAGCCGTTTTTTTTTTTTAGCTAGCGTGACTATAGTCAGCTGTGGTGTAGACAGAGCTGTAAGGCAGCATCCCAGCAGAATGATTGTCTCTGGTCTTGTCCAGCACCAACACTGGCCTGGTAGTCCAGCACCAACACTGACCTGGTAGTCCAGCATCAACACTGACCTGGTAGTCCAGTACCAACACTGACCAGGTAGTCCAGCACCAACACTGACTTGGTAGTCCAGCATCAACACTGACCTGGTAGTCCAGCATCAACACTGACCTGGTAGTCCAGCATCAACACTGACCTGGTAGTCCAGTACCAACACTGACCAGGTAGCATAGCACCAACACTGACCAGGTAGCATAGCACCAACACTGACCAAGTAGTCCAGCACCAACACTGACCAGGTAGTCCAGCACCAACACTGACCAGGTAGCATAGCACCAACACTGACCAGGTAGTCCAGCACCAACACTGACCAGGTAGTCCAGCACCAACACTGACCAGGTAGTCCAGCACCAAGACTGAGCAGGGAGTCCAGCACCAACAGTGACCTGGTATTCCAGTACCAACACTGACCTGGTAGTCCAGTACCAACACTGACCTGGTAGTCCAGTACCAACACTGACCAGGTAGTATAGCACCAACACTGACCTGGTAGTCCAGAGAGCAGTGATGAAGAGAGCAGTGATGGAGAGAGAGAGAGAAGATAGAGATAGAGATAGAGATAGAGATAGAGATAGAGATAGAGATAGAGATAGAGATAGAGATAGAGCAGTAATGTAGGTTATATACCGGCTGCACATTGTTCTGGCTGTGAAAGTGGGTTATACACTCGTCTACTTCATCCTGGTAGACACAAATATCTACCACAGGTGATATGTTCCCCATAGATTTTTGTTTAGTTTACTTACCAGTGTTCCCGACTTGCCTCCACTTGCAGGCCGACTCTGTAGTTTACAGCAGACTGAAATTGCATGACTAACCTTATGCCAGAACTTTGACATCAGACTGTTCCTTATAGGTATACGTCAAACGTGTCTAAGTTTAGCTGTCTCAACCACAGACAGGTACTCGATTCTCAAGAATAACGCCAACATGTGCAACAGCAGCATCTCAGAAACAATACATATCCAGTAATTGTACGATCTCCCTGAAGTTAATTCGGCTATCTTGTAACAAAATCTATACGGCTTCTGTATACGGCTGCCGGGGTTAACACTTATTTAACCCAACTTCGCATCTATATTTCGGTATTATGTAGTGATATGCTCTTGCAACCGTAGACTTAACTACCACTATAATTCAGTGTCTTCATTACACAAACCAGACGATATACTCCCGTGCGTCTCACACAACGTTGTGTGAATCAGTGTCTTCCAGTGCTTTATTGGCCGCTGGAAAATTTGAGTCTAGTTCCCGAACTGTTCGAAATTTTGCTCAGGTACAGCTTCAGTAGAACGTGGCACTAATTGGAGTTTGTAAAATGGTCATGACAGTTACGACGAGACTGTCTCATGCATCATACTCGTTGGTAACAACAATCTGCTTGTACGTCATCTCTAGAATAAGATGTATACATAACCCCCCCCACCACACGAAGGAGAATGAACTTTATGGCGGTGTTTCGGTTAGACTCGTACCCTTAACTAGTAACACAGACCGAAACGTCATCATTTCCAGTCTCCTTTGTGTGTTGGTTGTGTATTGTTCCAATTACGATACTGTGCCTTTCTATTTATAGAGTTAGTTTTGCTAATTCGAGCGTCCCCAAGTGTGTCTGGCATGTTATTCCTGCCTCAGCAGTCGTATCACCAGGCAAACTACCAGCTGGTGTGATCACCACTACTACCAGCTGGTGTGATCACCACTACTAGCAGCTGGTGTGTTCACCACTACTAGCAGCTGGTGTGATCACCACTACTAGCAGCTGGTGTGATCACCACTACTACCAGCTGGTGTGTTCACCACTTCTAGCAGCTGGTGTGATCACCACTACTAGCAGCTGGTGTGATCACCACTACTAGCAGCTGGTGTGTTCACCACTACTAGCAGCTGGTGTGATCACCACTACTAGCAGCTGGTGTGTTCACTACTAGCAGCTGGTGTGTTCACTACTAGCAGCTGGTGTGTTCACCACTACTAGCAGCTGGTGTGTTCACCACTACTAGCAGCTGGTGTGATCACCACTACTAGCAGCTGGTGTGTTCACCACTACTAGCAGCTGGTGTGTTCACCACTACTACCAGCTGGTGTGTTCACCACTACTAGCAGCTGGTGTGTTCACCACTACTACCAGCTGGTGTGATCACCACTACTAGCAGCTGGTGTGTTCACCACTACTAGCAGCTGGTGTGTTCACCACTACTAGCAGCTGGTGTGATCACCACTACTAGCAGCTGGTGTGTTCACCACTACTACCAGCTGGTGTGATCACCACTACTAGCAGCTGGTGTGTTCACCACTACTAGCAAGGAGACGGAGCAGCAGAGACCAGCACGAGTCTCCAGGTCACGAGACACACCAGAGATATACAGGAATCATCAGTGATGCATCGGACATTAACATGTTGCATTTTAATTTACGAAACTGCACAGTTGTTGCATGGTAACGATATTAAATGCCTGTTGAATGGGTACTAACTCTTCAACAGTAACAGCCTGGTTGATCAGACCCAAAGCCAATTACCAAAGCCTTTTTGCCATTTCCCACCTGGTTTTGTGTAAATGTTCTTAAAATTGTGAAAATAAAACTATTTCTCAATATAATTTTATTGATCTCAATCAGCACATTTTAATAAAATCTTAAAAAATAAAAATATATTTCAGCAATTTTAATTTAATTAATAAGTAGCATTAATAACATACAAACTTTAGTGTCCTACCAGATGCAAATCTTTGGATTATTTTACGTACATGTAAATCTTTGGCGATGGCTGTCACCCGATGAGGTCACCCAGCCCTTCAACCCACCTTGTGTCACCATGGAACTAAAATAACTTCGGAGCCCCGTCCTGTGCTGGCCACTGACACACGCAGTGGTTCTCAGCGCCGCTGGAACACACAGCGATGTGGCGGTCACATTGTTGGAGCACAAGACTTACAGGATCTTCTGAGAATAATTTCCTTCGGAATGGTTTAGCAAATCGATGCTGTAAGTGTCTCGCTGATCACCATTCGTCAGTAAGTTTCTCAATCTGCCAACAGGTTCCTCAATCCTTCAGCATGTTTCTGAACTTGACAGTAGGTTTCTCAATCTATCAGCATGTTTCTCAACTTGCCAGCAGGTTTCTCAATCTATCAGTAGGTTTCTCAGTCTATCAGGCTTCTCGGTTCAGACAATTCCTCGACAGATCACCACCACTCGGATCTCTGACATTACTCAAACTGTATTGAAACTGGAACTGATCAATAAGGTTTGCCATCAGCTCAAACATCGTCTTTCAATAACCAGATTGTTAAGTTGTCGTCAAAATGCTCCCGTAAACATCTTCCTAAAATTTTCTCTTGGTTGTCGTTGCTAATTCATCGTCGTCTACACAATCAAAACTTTCCAGCGGCGAATGTTTTTCTCCACAAATCGCTTTCAATTACCAACTTTCCTTTTTCATTTTTTAAAACATTTAAATTTGACTATCTCTTGCGGAATATCTAAGAAAATTAGAGACTTTGGAAAAAAAAAAAGTGAAATACTTTATGACACAGTTTGCCTCTTAGGATCGTTTTCTTTGGATGACTCAAGAAATCGTAATGACACGATTGCAAATCAACCATACCCCCGGCCGGGATTGAACCCGCGGTCATAGAGTCTCAAAACTCCAGCCCGTCGCGTTAGCCACTAGACCAGCTAGCCACAATAAGATTCATCCAACTAGGTACATTTGTGGTCACAGAGGTGCCTGTGCTAACTTTCCTATGGTGTAGAAATATACCTAGTTGGATGAATCTTATTGTGGCTAGCTGGTCTAGTGGCTAACGCGACGGGCTGGAGTTTTGAGACTCTATGACCGCGGGTTCAATCCCGGCCGGGGGTATGGTTTTTCTATGGATGTTAAACAGTAACATGCTGACTGATGGAGATATTTTGTCATTTCTTCTCGTTTATTTCGAATTTTGTGGATCCTCTAAGTGTATTAAGTCTCCCTGAGTGAGGGTTATGTTAATGACGGCTGTAACCTCTGTCTTAGACCAGGAAGTGCACGTCTGTACAGCCTTGCTTCATAATACTGTACAGAAATACTGAACAATGTACATAAGGGTTAATGTGCAGGTTGCAAACATATATATATATATATATATATATATATATTATATATATATATATATATATATATATATATATATATATATATATATATATATATATATATATATATATATATATATATAGAGAGAGAGAGAGAGAGTTAAAAAAACATTTCTCTCTCTCTCTCTCTCTCTCTCTCTCTCTCTCTCTCTCTCGTTTCTCAGTTTCGGAAGAAAACAAAACATAATTCTTCTCTATGAAGACTCAAAATTCCTTCCACTGGTTCATTGTCTTACTCAAAGTTCCTTTCACTCAGTTATTTCAATTTTTATACAAGTTTTTTTACAAGAATTTTACAAGAATTTACGAATATCACTCTCAGTTGATTTTTCTCCTACACTTCGTTGACTCGATAATTTTACGAAATTGATTCAGTGGTTTACTTTAGCTCAGTCGAGGGTTTCCACTGTTCAGTCCAGGGTTTCCACTGTTCATTTCAACTGTTCAGTCGAGGGTTTCCACTGTTCAGTCCAGGGTTTCCACTGTTCATTTCAACTGTTCAGTCGAGGGTTTCCACTGTTCAGTCGAGGGTTTCCACTGTTCATTTCAACTGTTCAGTCGAGGGTTTTCACTGTTCGGTCGAGGGTTTCTACTGTTCAGTTGAGGGTTTCCACTGTTCATTTCAACTGTTCAGTCGAGGGTTTCAACTGTTCTCTCGGGGCTTCAGGCAGTTCATTATAATTAATTTATAAGCCTGATGTAGGCTTCACATGGCGTTCTTTATGATTAAGATAAGATTTGTTTGGATTTTTAACCCGGGAGGGTTAGCCACCCAGGATAACCTGGGATAGGCAGTGTGAACCACCCAGGATAACCTGGGATAGGCAGTGTGAACCACCCAGGATAACCTGGGATAGGCAGTGTGAACCACCCAGGATAGCCCAAGAAAGTCAATGCGTCATCGAGTCTTATTTCCACTGTGATCCTTCAATCTTATTCCCCAGGATGCCACCCACACCAATCCACTAACACCCAGGTACCTACTTACTGCTAAATGAACAGGGACAACAGTTGTAAGGAAACATGCTCAAAGTTTCCACCCGTGCCGTGGATTGAACCACGGACACTCAGTATGTGAGGCGAGTGCGTTGCCAACCAAACCACGGGACACATCATTGAAATGTAATGACTCACAGAGCCACGTAACTTAAATTATAAATCTGTATGAGGCTCAGAGTTTTGCAGCTAAAAATGATAACATTCCACTACCGTATTTACAAAAAATATTTAACATTGGAATTTTATTCAAACTTTTCATATATTTAAGTCACAAAACCGACTGATTTAGTTTATATAAGATTTATTTGTGATCTCAGTCACTTAGTAACACACAGTGGCGAGACAGTGGAATGTAACACTGTGTTTAGATATTTAGCTGGGACGGGAGCAAGGGGGCTAGTGACCACTTGTCCTATATACATTACTAAATTTAAGAAGAGAAACTTTCGATTTTCTTTTATGGGTCACCTTGCCTCGGTGGGATACGGCCGGCTTGTTGAAAGATGATTTAGTTGGAGATGAATGGTTAGTGTCTCTAGGGTTGAAGGCAGTGTACTAAGATCAGCTTGGTCAACCGAGGTCACACTTCACTCTCTTTGTGGTCATTTACGAGAGGCATGTCAACTGTGGCCTTGTCGTCTTCCTCTGACAGCATGGGTTGGGTCACTGGGTTACTCCCAAATCCACGTGGAGACGTAGTGAAAGCCAGACTATCCAGGGTACCAACCATGTGCTCCTGAGGGCACATGGTCCCTAATACTATGCTGTTTCCAGGGCATATGTTGCCACCCATTCCAACTGTACTGCCACAGATGCTTCCACCCATGCTGCTACGTATGTTGCCACCCATTACACAAACGACGCTGCCACCCAGCTTGCCACCCATCAGGCCACCCGCACTCACAAGGCCACTCTTGACAGGGGCGACTCCCAACGACACAGGGGCACCAGGCAAGGCGGGCTCTACCTGGGTGTATATAGTAGAGTCTGGCCTGTGACGGTAGAAGCTGCTAGTGGAGGTGGTGGTGGTGGGATAGTGACCACAGAAGCTGCTAGTAGTAGTAGTAGTGATGGTGGTAGTAGTGGGATAGTGCTCGCTGCTTCGAGGTAACGACAACTCCGCATACATTAGCTCCTCGTTCTGTGTCAAAGAAAAATAACATAATTTGACATAACTTAGACATTTCTTAGGTAATAACTAGTGAGATCCGGGGATAAAAACAGAAAATAACTTACCAAAATTTTCTGCATAAACAAGACTATCGAAATCGCGGTGACATGACTGTACACGAAATACCTAGCCATGCTAGTGGCTCACTCTGTAATTAGTATTTTATTACATGTAAACCACACAATAACCAAAATCTGTAAACCCCGCATTGTAACCCTTATAGAGAATAAACTTTGACTGAGAGACTGCTCCTGGTGTGCCAGCCCATAAAACTGTGCACGTATATATCAATGTTATCCTTGGGAGACGTCTTGCGGTGGGCTACTGACGATGTCATCGTTATTAAGGACATATTTCAGTTACTACGTTACGAGAGATGAGATTAATACTAAGATCAGAGTACAAGACACGTTTATGTCATTGAATAGAGAATAAGATTGACAGGAGAGACCTGGGAGTGATAATGGACAGGAGAGACCTGGGAGTGATAATGGACAGGAGAGATCTGGGAGTGATAATGTCAGAAGAACTCACCTTCAAGGACCACAACAGTGTTGTTATCGCAGCTGCAAGGAAAACAATAGACTAAAACTTTTTAAAAAAAAAAAGAGATACCAAGCCAGTGACACTCTGAAAGTCGTTCTTTCTCATGGCTGAAACATTGTGGTGTGTCAAGTTGCTGAACTGGAAAATGTACTAAGAAACTTTCCTGCTCATATAAACTGTGTCAAGCACCTAAATTACTGCAAAAGTACACATAAGTACACTTATCATAGAGTACATTATCCAGGATAATCCAAAAAAAAGTCTAAGTCACTTATTTCCATTGATGTGAGAAACATTTGATAATCTACGCCTGGAAGATTATGGAAGGATTGATCTGCTGACCAGGAGGTCTGGTCTGGGACCAGGAGGTCTGGTCTGGGACCAGGAGGTCTGGTCTGGGACCAGGAGGTCTGGTCTGGGACCAGGAGGTCTGGTCTGGGACCAGGAGGTCTGGTCTGGGACCAGGAGGTCTGGTCTGGGACCAGGTCAACTTGTGGATCTACCCAAATATTCTCCAGCATTTCTATATTACACTAAATATATATCTTTAACAAGTTCCGTGGATTAGTGAGCAAGCTGTGACATGCTCCTTCATGCCCCCCCATTACCACCCCTGTGTCATGCTCCTTCATTCCCTCCCATTACCTCCCCTGTGTCATGCTCCTTCATTCCCTCCCATTACCTCCCCTGTGTCATGCTCCTTCATTCCCTCCCATTACCTCCCCTGTGTCATGCTCCTTCATGCCCCCCCCATTACCTCCCCTGTGTCATGCTCCTTCATTCCCCCCCATTACCTCCCCTGTGTCATGCTCCTTCATTCCCTCCCATTACCTCCCCTGTGTCATGCTCCTTCATTCCCTCCCATTACCTCCCCTGTGTCATGCTCCTTCATTCCCTCCCATTACCTCCCCTGTGTCATGCTCCTTCATGCCCCCCATTACCTCCCCTGTGTCATGCTCCTTCATTCCCTCCCATTACCTCCCCTGTGTCATGCTCCTTCATTCCCTCCCATTACCTCCCCTGTGTCATGCTCCTTCATTCCCTCCCATTACCTCCCCTGTGTCATGCTCCTTCATTCCCCCCCATTACCTCCCCTGTGTCATGCTCCTTCATTCCCTCCCATTACCTCCCCTGTGTCATGCTCCTTCATGCCCCCCCATTACCTCCCCTGTGTCATGCTCCTTCATTCCCCCCATTACCTCCCCTGTGTCATGCTCCTTCATTCCCTCGCATTACCTCCCCTGTGTCATGCTCCTTCATTCCCTCCCATTACCTCCCCTGTGTCATGCTCCTTCATTCCCTCCCATTACCTCCCCTGTGTCATGCTCCTTCATGCCCCCCATTACCTCCTCTGTGTCATGCTCCTTCATTCCCTCCCATTACCTCCCCTGTGTCATGCTCCTTCATTCCCTCCCATTACCTCCCCTGTGTCATGCTCCTTCATTCCCTCCCATTACCTCCCCTGTGTCATGCTCCTTCATTCCCTCCCATTACCTCCACTGTGTCATGCTCCTTCATTCCCTCCCATTACCTCCCCTGTGTCATGCTCCTTCATTCCCTCCCATTACCTCCCCTGTGTCATGCTCCTTCATTCCCTCCCATTACCTCCCCTGTGTCATGCTCCTTCATTCCCTCCCATTACCACCCCTGTGTCACGCTCCTTCATTCCCTCCCATTACCACCCATGTGTCATGCTCCTTCATTCCCTCCCATTACCACCCCTGTGTCACACTCCTTCATTCCCTCCCATTACCACCCGTGTCACGCTCCTTCATTCCCTCCCATTACCTCCCCTGTGTCATGCTCCTTCATTCCCTCCCATTACCTCCCCTGTGTCATGCTCCTTCATTCCCTCCCATTACCTCCCCTGTGTCACGCTCCTTCATTCCCTCCCATTACCTCCCCTGTGTCACGCTCCTTCATTCCCTCCCATTACCTCCCCTGTGTCATGCTCCTTCATTCCCTCCCATTACCTCCCCTGTGTCATGCTCCTTCATTCCCTCCCATTACCTCCCCTGTGTCATGCTCCTTCATTCCCTCCCATTACCTCCCCTGTGTCATGCTCCTTCATTCCCTCCCATTACCTCCCCTGTGTCATGCTCCTTCATTCCCTCCCATTACCTCCCCTGTGTCATGCTCCTTCATTCCCTCCCATTACCTCCCCTGTGTCATGCTCCTTCATTCCCTCCCATTACCTCCCCTGTGTCATGCTCCTTCATTCCCTCCCATTACCTCCCCTGTGTCACGCTCCTTCATTCCCTCCCATTACCTCCCCTGTGTCATGCTCCTTCATTCCCTCCCATTACCTCCCCTGTGTCATGCTCCTTCATTCCCTCCCATTACCTCCCCTGTGTCATGCTCCTTCATTCCCTCTCATTACCTCCCCTGTGTCATGCTCCTTCATTCCCTCCCATTACTTCCCCTGTGTCATGCTCCTTCATTCCCTCCCATTGCCTCCCTTGTGTCATGCTCCTTCATTCCCTCCCATTACCTCCCCTGTGTCATGCTCCTTCATTCCCTCCCATTACCTCCCATTACCTCCCCTGTGTCATGCTCCTTCATTCCCTCCCATTACCGCCCCTGTGTCACGCTCCTTCATTCCCTCCCATTACCTCCCCTGTGTCATGCTCCTTCATTCCCTCCCATTACCTCCCCTGTGTCATGCTCCTTCATTCCCTCCCATTACCTCCCCTGTGTCATGCTCCTTCATTCCCTCCCATTACCTCCCTGTGTCATGCTCCTTCATTCCCTCCCATTACCTCCCCTGTGTCATGCTCTTCATTCCCTCCCATTACCTCCCCTGTGTCATGCTCCTTCATTCCCTCCCATTGCCTCCCTTGTGTCATGCTCCTTCATTCCCTCCCATTACCTCCCCTGTGTCATGCTCCTTCATTCCCTCCCATTACCTCCCATTACCTCCCCTGTGTCATGCTCCTTCATTCCCTCCCATTACCTCCCATTACCTCCACTGTGTCATGATCCTTCATTCCCTCCCATTACCTCCCCTGTGTCACGCTCCTTCATTCCCTCCCATTACTTCCCCTGTGTCATGCTTCTTCATTCCCTCCCATTACCTCCCCTGTGTCATGCTCCTTCATCCCCTCTCATTACCTCCCCTGTGTCATGATCCTTCATTCCCTCCCATTACCTCCCCTGTGTCACGCTCCTTCATTCCCTCCCATTACTTCCCCTGTGTCATGCTTCTTCATTCCCTCCCATTACCTCCCCTGTGTCATGCTCCTTCATCCCCTCTCATTACCTCCCCTGTGTCATGCTCCTTCATTCCCTCCCATTACCTCCCCTGTGTCACGCTCCTTCATCCCCCCATTACATCCCCTGTGTCAAGCTCCTTCATCCCCTCCCATTACCTCCCCTGTGTCACGCTCCTTCATCCCCCATTACCTCCCCTGTGTCATGCTCCTTCATTACCCTCCCATTACCTCCCCTGTGTCACACTCCTTCATCCCCTCCCATTACCTCCCCTGTGTCACACTCCTTCATCCCCTCCCATTACCTCCCCTGTGTCACGCTCCTTCATCCCCCCCATTACATCCCCTGTGTCACGCTCCTTCATCCCCGCCATTACCTCTCCTGTGTCACGCTCCTTCATCCCCTCCCATTACCTCCCCTGTGTCATGCTCCTTCATCCCCCCATTACCTCCCCTGTGTCATGCTCCTTCATCCCCCCATTACCTCCCCTGTGTCACGCTCCTTCATCCCCCCATTACCTCCCCTGTGTCTCGCTCCTTCATCCCCTCCCATTACCTCCCCTGTGTCATGCTCCTTCATCCCCTCCCATTACCTCCCCTGTGTCACACTCCTTCATCCCCTCCCATTACCTCCCCTGTGTCACACTCCTTCATCCCCTCCCATTACCTCCCCTGTGTCACACTCCTTCATCCCCGCCATTACCTCCCCTGTGTCTCGCTCCTTCATTCCCTCCCATTACCTCCCCTGTGTCATGCTCCTTCATCCCCCCATTACCTCCCCTGTGTCACACTCCTTCATCCCCTCCCATTACCTCCCCTGTGTCACGCTCCTTCATCCCCTCCCATTACGTTCCCTGTGTCACGCTCCTTCATCCCCCATTACATCCCCAGTGTCACGCTCCTTCATCCCCTCCCATTACCTCCCCTGTGTTACGCTCCTTCATCCCCTCCCATTACCTCCCCTGTGTCACACTCCTTCATCCCCTCCCATTACCTCCCCTGTGTCACGCTCCTTCATCCCCATCATTACCTCCCCTGTGTCACGCTCCTTCATCCCCCATTACATCCCCTGTGTCACGCTCCTTCATCCCCATCATTACCTCCCCTGTGTCACGCTCCTTCATCCCCTCCCATTACCTCCCCTGTGTCACGCTCCTTCATCCCCTCTCATTACCTCCCCTGTGTCACGCTCCTTCATCCCCCACATTACCTCCCCTGTGTCACGCTCCTTCATCCCCCCCCATTACCTACCCTGTGTCACGCTCCTTCATCCCCCCATTACCTCCCCTGTGTCATGCTCCTTCATCCCCTCCCATTACCTCCCCTGTGTCATGCTCCTTCATCCATCCCATTACCTCTGCTGTGTCATGCTCCTTCATCCCCTCCCATTACCTCCCCTGTGTCACGCTCCTTCATCCCCTCCCATTACCTCCCCTGTGTCATGGTCCTTCATCCCCTCCCATTACCTCCCCTGTGTCATGCTCGTTCATTCCCTCCCATTACCTCCCCTATGTCACGCTCCTTCATCCCCTCCCATTACCTCCCCTGTGTCATGCTCCTTCATCCCCTCCCATTACCTCCCCTGTGTCATGCTCCTTCATCCTCTCCCATTACCTCCCCTGTGTCATGCTCCTTCATCCCCTCCCATTACCTCCCCTGTGTCATGCTCCTTCATCCCCTCTCATTACCTCCCCTGTGTCATGCTCCTTCATCCCCTCTCATTACCTCCCCTGTGTCAAGCTCCTTCATCCCCTCCCATTACCTCCCCTGTGTCATGCTAATTCATCCCCTCCCATTACCTCCCCTGTGTCACGCTCCTTCACAGTAGTGGCACAGTACTGCGACAATACAATTCTCACATACAATTGTACGTCTCTAATAGAGTATATCTATCGTACAGATAGATATAGTCTATCAGCGGGTGTTTCCACAGTCTATCTCTCGGGCAGAATAGAGAAGCAACTCAGTCCTGTTCCCAATTATGCCCAATTTTTTAAATAAAATCCCATTTAATTCTTCCTTTAACCTCTCAGGCCCTCTTCTAGTCTTCTGAAGAGGACCTCAAAGTGAAGTCGAAATATACTCTACCCGTCTTATCTTGTGTTGTATTGTGTGGAGGTGGTGCGTAGTGGTGTAGGGGACGGAGGCGCAGACGTGGACACTGCCAAAGCCACCTTCCTCTGGGGTAGTTGGGCTCTGACTCTGCACCCCTCCGTTACCTGCAGGGGAGAGGGACTCTCACACACAGCCGGAAGTCGATCCCTTCAGTTGACAGGTTGTCATTACATCAATCAACTCACTTAGACAACTCAATTAGTCAACTCACTTAATCAACTCACTTAGACAACTCAATTAGTCAACTCACTCAATCATCTCACTCACTCAGTCAACTCACTTAGACAACTCAATTAGTCAACTCACTCAATCATCTCACTCACTCAGTCAACTCACTTAGACAACTCAATTAGTCAACTCACTTAATCAACTCACTTAGACAACTCAATTAGTCAACTCACTTAATCAACTCACTTAGACAACTCAATTAGTCAACTCACTTAATCAACTCACTTAGACAACTCAATTAGTCAACTCACTTAATCAACTCACTTAGACAACTCAATTAGTCAACTCACTTAATCAACTCACTTAGACAACTCAATTAGTCAACTCACTTAATCAACTCACTTAGACAACTCAATTAGTCAACTCACTTAATCAACTCACTTAGACAACTCAATTAGTCAACTCAAAAAAACATTACAACTCACTTAGACAACCATTAGTCAACTCACTCAATCATCTCACTCACTAAGTCGACTCACTTAGACAACTCAATTAGTCAACTCACTCAATCATCTCACTCACTCAGTCAACTCACTTAGACAACTCAATTGGTCAACTCACTTAGTCAAGTCACTTACTTAACTAACTCAGCCAACTCATTCTCTCAGTCAACTCATCTTCAGGTGATAAGGTTCTCACAAATTATATTTCTCACAACTAATTCACCTTATATTTTTTCTTTAACTAAACCGAATGTGGACAAACCTTTTTGTGTTACTAACTTAGCACGTTTCTCTCCCTCACAACTAAACCACAAACACGTTTCTCACCCTCACAACCAAGCCACAAACATGTTTCTCACCCTCACAACTAAGCAACAAACACGTTTCTCACCTTCACAACTAAGCCAAAAACACGTTTCTCTCCCTCACAACTAAGCCACAAACACGTTTCTCACCCACACAACTAAGCAACAAACACGTTTCTCTCCCTCACAACTAAGCCACAAACACGTTTCTCACCCACACAACTAAGCAACAAACACGTTTCTCTCCCTCACAACTAAGCAACAAACACGTTTCTCACCCTCACAACTAAGCAACAAACACGTTTCTCTCCCTCACAACTAAGCAACAAACACGTTTCTCTCCCTCACAACTAAGCAACAAACACGTTTCTCTCCCTCACAACTAAGCAACAAACACGTTTCTCACCCTCACAACTAAGCAACAAACACGTTTCTCTCCCTCACAACTAAGCAACAAACACGTTTCTCTCCCTCACAACTAAGCAACAAACACGTTTTCTCACCCTCACAACTAAGCAACAAACACGTTTCTCTCCCTCACAACTAAGCAACAAACACGTTTCTCTCCCTCACAACTAAGCCACAAACACGTTTCTGTCCCTCACAACTAAGCAACAAACACGTTTCTCACCCTCACAACTAAGCAACAAACACGTTTCTCTCCCTCACAACTAAGCAACAAACACGTTTCTCTCCCTCACAACTAAGCAACATACACGTTTCTCTCCCTCACAACTAAGCAACATACACGTTTCTCTCCCTCACAACTAAGCAACATACACGTTTCTCTCCCTCACAACTAGGCCACAAATACGTTTCTCTCCCTCACAACTAGGCCACAAACACGTTTCTCACCCTCACAACTAAGCAACAAACACGTTTCTCTCCCTCACAACTAAGCAACAAACACGTTTTTCTCCCTCACAACTAAGCCACAAACACGTTTCTGTCCCTCACAACTAAGCAACAAACACGTTTCTCTCCCTCACAACTAAGCAACAAACACGTTTCTCTCCCTCACAACTAAGCCACAAACACGTTTCTCTCCCTCACAACTAAGCAACAAACACGTTTCTCTCCCTCACAACTAAGCAACAAACACGTTTCTCTCCCTCACAACTAAGCAACAAACACGTTTCTCTCCCTCACAACTAAGCCACAAACACGTTTCTCCTCACAACTAAGCAACAAACACGTTTCTCTCCCTCACAACTAAGCAACAAACACGTTTCTCTCCCTCACAGCTAAGCCACAAACACGTTTCTCTCCCTCACAACTAAGCAACAAACACGTTTCTCTCCCTCACAACTAAGCAACAAACAGGTTTCTCTCCCTCACAACTAAGCAACAAACACGTTTTTGTCTCTCACAACTAAGCAACAAACACGTTTCTCTCCCTCACAACTAACCAACAAACACGTTTCTCTCCCTCACAACTAAGCCACAAACACGTTTCTCTCCCTCACAACTAAGCAACAAACATGTTTCTCTCCCTCACAACTAAGCAACAAACACGTTTCTCTCCCTCACAACTAAGCAACAAACACGTTTCTCTCCCTTACAACTAAGCCACAAACACGTTTCTCTCCCTCACAACTAAGCAACAAACACGTTTCTGTCCCTCACAACTAAGCAACAAACACGTTTCTCTCCCTCACAACTAAGCCACAAACACGTTTCTCTCCCTCACAACTAAGCAACAAACACGTTTCTCTCCCTCACAACTAAGCAACAAACACGTTTCTCTCCCTCACAACTAAGCAACAAACACGTTTCTCTCCCTCACAACTAAGCAACAAACACGTTTCTCTCCCTCACAACTAAGCACAAACACGTTTCTCTCCTCACAACTAAGCAACAAACACGTTTCTCTCCCTCACAACTAAGCAACAAACACGTTTCTCTCCCTTACAACTAAGCCACAAACACGTTTCTCTCCCTCACAACTAAGCAACAAACACGTTCTGTCCCTCACAACTAAGCAACAAACACGTTTCTCTCCCTCACAACTAAGCCACAAACACGTTTCTCTCCCTCACAACTAAGCAACAAACACGTTTCTCTCCCTCACAACTAAGCAACAAACACGTTTCTCTCCCTCACAGCTAAGCAACAAACACGTTTCTCTCCCTCACAACTAAGCAACAAACACGTTTCTCTCCCTCACAACTAAGCCACAAACACGTTTCTCTCCCTCACAACTAAGCAACAAACACGTTTCTCTCCCTCACAACTAAGCAACAAACACGTTTCTCTCCCTCACAACTAAGCAACAAACACGTTTCTCTCCCTCACAACTAAGCAACAAACACGTTTCTCTCCCTCACAACTAAGCAACAAACACGTTTCTCTCCCTCACAACTAAGCAACAAACACGTTTCTCTCCCTCACAACTAAGCAACAAACACGTTTCTCTCCCTCACAACTAAGCAACAAACACGTTTCTCTCCCTCACAACTAAGCAACAAACACGTTTCTCTCCCTCACAACTAAGCAACAAACACGTTTCTCTCCCTCACAACTAAGCAACAAACACGTTTCTCTCCCTCACAACTAAGCAACAAAAACGTTTCTCTACCTCACAACTAAGCAACAAAAACGTTTCTTACCTCACAACTAAGCAACAAAAAACACTTCTCTACCTCACAACTAAGCAACAAACACGTTTCTCTCCCTCACAACTAAGCAACAAAAACGTTTCTCTCCCTCACAGCTAAGCCACAAACACGTTTCTCTCCCTCACAACTAAGCAACAAACACGTTTCTCTCCCTCACAACTAAGCAACAAACACGTTTCTTCCTCACAACTAAGCAACAAACACGTTTCTCTCCCTCACAACTAAGCAACAAACACGTTTCTCTCCCTCACAACTAAGCAACAAACACGTTTCTCTCCCTCACAACTAAGCAACAAACACGTTTCTCTCCCTCACAACTAAGCAACAAACACGTTTCTCTCCCTCACAACTAAGCAACAAACACGTTTTCTCCCTCACAACTAAGCAACAAACACGTTTCTCTCCCTCACAACTAAGCAACAAACACGTTTCTCTCCCTCACAACTAAGCAACAAAAACGTTTCTCTACCTCACAACTAAGCAACAAAAACGTTTCTCTACCTCACAACTAAGCAACAAAAACATTTCTCTACCTCACAACTAAGCAACAAACACGTTTCTCTCCCTCACACTAAGCAACAAAACGTTTCTCTACCTCACAACTAAGCAACAAACACGTTTCTCTCCCTCACAACTAAGCCACAAACACGTTTCTCTCCCTCACAACTAAGCAACAAACATGTTTCTCTCCCTCACAACTAAGCAACAAACACGTTTCTCTCCCTCACAACTAAGCAACAAACACGTTTCTCTCCCTTACAACTAAGCCAACAAACACGTTTCTCTCCCTCACAACTAAGCAACAAACACGTTTCTGTCCCTCACAACTAAGCAACAAACACGTTTCTCTCCCTCACAACTAAGCAACAAACACGTTTCTCTCCCTCACAACTAAGCAACAAACACGTTTCTCTCCCCCCACAACTAAGCAACAAACACGTTTCTCTCCCTTACAACTAAGCCACAAACACGTTTCTCTCCCTCACAACTAAGCAACAAACACGTTTCTGTCCCTCACAACTAAGCAACAAACACGTTTCTCTCCCTCACAACTAAGCCACAAACACGTTTCTCTCCCTCACAACTAAGCAACAAACACGTTTCTCTCCCTCACAACTAAGCAACAAACACGTTTCTCTCCCTCACAGCTAAGCAACAAACACGTTTCTCTCCCTCACAACTAAGCAACAAACACGTTTCTCTCCCTCACAACTAAGCCACAAACACGTTTCTCTCCCTCACAACTAAGCAACAAACACGTTTCCCCTCCCTCACAACTAAGCAACAAACACGTTTCTCTCTCTCACAACTAAGCAACAAACACGTTTCTCTCCCTCACAACTAAGCAACAAACACGTTTCTCTCCCTCACAACTAAGCAACAAACACGTTTCTCTCCCTCACAACTAAGCAACAAACACGTTTCTCTCCCTCACAACTAAGCAACAAACACGTTTCTCTCCCTCACAACTAAGCAACAAACACGTTTCTCTCCCTCACAACTAAGCAACAAACACGTTTCTCTCCCTCACAACTAAGCAACAAACCCACGTTTCTCTCCCTCACAACTAAGCAACAAACACGTTTCTCTCCCTCACAACTAAGCAACAAAAACGTTTCTCTACCTCACAACTAAGCAACAAAAACGTTTCTCTACCTCACAACTAAGCAACAAAAACATTTCTCTACCTCACAACTAAGCAACAAACACGTTTCTCTCCCTCACAACTAAGCAACAAAAACGTTTCTCTCCCTCACAGCTAAGCCACAAACACGTATCTCTCCCTCACAACTAAGCAACAAACACGTTTCTCTCCCTCACAACTAAGCAACAAACACGTTTCTCTCCCTCACAACTAAGCAACAAACACGTTTCTCTCCCTCACAACTAAGCAACAAACACGTTTCTCTCCCTCACAACTAAGCAACAAACACGTTTCTCTCCCTCACAACTAAGCAACAAACACGTTTCTCCCCCTCACAACTAAGCAACAAACACGTTCTCTCCCTCACAACTAAGCAACAAACACGTTTCTCTCCCTCACAACTAAGCAACAAACACGTTTCTCTCCCTCACAACTAAGCAACAAAAACGTTTCTCTACCTCACAACTAAGCAACAAAAACGTTTCTCTACCTCACAACTAAGCAACAAAAACATTTCTCTACCTCACAACTAAGCAACAAACACGTTTCTCTCCCTCACAACTAAGCAACAAAAACGTTTCTCTACCTCACAACTAAGCAACAAACACGTTTCTCTCCCTCAAAACTAAGCAACAAAAACGTTTCTCTACCTCACAACTAAGCAACAAACACGTTTCTCTCCCTCACAACCAAGCCACAAACACGTTTCATTGTTGTGGGTTAGTTTAACAGTGCTTTATGAAGGTTTCTGGAAGCCCTGTCTCTTACTGACAGTGTTGACATAAAGATGGATAACTTAAGTTAGTGTTATCTGGCGAACTTAACTCTGTTAACTTCTGTTTTTCCTCAGTTTCCAACATACAAAGGTGCTTAAATATAGTGTGTGTAAATTGACCTACATGACACACAGACCTACATGACACACAGACCTACATGACACACACAGACTTATATGACATACACACACATCTACATGACACACACACACACCTACATGACACACACACCTACATGACACACACACACACCTACATGACACACACACACCTACATGACACACACACACACACCTACATGACACACACACACACCTACATGACACACACACACCTACATGACACACACACACACACCTACATGACACACACACACACACACACCTACATGACACACACACACACACACACACACCTACATGACAACACACACACACACACAACCTACATGACACACACACACACCTACATGACACACACACACACCTACATGACACACACACACACACCCCCTACATGACACAGACCCACACACCTACATGACACACACACACACCACACACACACACACACACACACACCTACATGACACACACACACACACACACACACACCTACATGACACGCACACACCACCTACATGACACACACACACACACCTACATGACACAGACCCACACACCTACATGACACACCACACACACACAAAACACACACACACACACACACACACACACACACACACACCTACATGACACACACACACACACACACACACACACACCTACATGACACACACACACACACACACACACACACACCTACATGACACACACAACATCACACACACAACACACACACACACACACACACACCTACATGACACACACACACACACACAACACACACACACACCACCTACAGACACACACACACACACACACACACACACCTACATGACACCACACACACACACCACACACCACACCAACACACACACACACACACACACACCTACATGACCCCACACACACACACACACACCTACATGAACACACCCCACAACACACACACACACACACACACACACACACACACACACACACACACACACTACATGACACACACACACACACACACACACACACAACACACCAAAACACCTACATGACACACACACACACCTACATGACACACACACACACACACACACACACACACACACACACACACACACACACACACACACCTACATGACACACACACACACACACACACACACACACACACAACACACACACACACACACACATACCACACCACACACACACACACACACACCCACCTACATGACACACACACACACACACACACACACACACACACACACCTACATGACACAGACCCACAACACACACACACACACACCTACATGACCCCACACACACACACACACCACACACACACACCTACATGACACACACACACACACACACACACACACACACCTACATGACACACACACACACACACACACACACACCTACATGACACAGACCCACGTAGACAAATCATCCTCACACTAAGACCTTCTTCAAATCTTATGAAGAACTTAGTGAGGCGTGAAAATAATCAATACTCGTGTTGTGCCCAGGTTAATGATACTTCAAGTAGGACCTGAATGTCATCTCCACCTTGCCTTATTTATATCTTAGAAATTTAAGGCTAAAATCTAAAAGTCTTACCGTTGGCAGGGATGAGGTCAGGATTCTTCTCGTCGAGGTCCCGAGTGTCAGTTAAAGACGTCTGCAACTGCAGTGTGACGGTCTTGCATTCTGGACGTCGCTTTTTCTTGAGGTTAACCACCATTAGTGCCACCAGTGCCACCAGCACCAGCGACCCCACCACTCCTACCACCACTGCCAGGATGGGTGTCATTACCACTAACTCTTCAGGAGGAGGTCTTACTGGAGCAGTGCGTCTCTCTGCCACGTCTTTAATAGTATAGCCAGTGAGATAACGCTTCTCACTGGAACCTCTATCATTGGCAGCGTAAGCATGCACGATGTAAGAAGTCCCAGGTTCGAGCCCCCGCAAGGTAAAATCCGGGGCGGAATTTTCTGTAATGTTGAGTAACAAGCGTTGACTCACTGCCTCGTAAACCTCCATAATAAATTTCTGCAGAAGGCCGCCGTCGTAGCCAGGCACACAGTGAACCTTCAGCGTCTCTGTCGTCTGGTTGGTAAGGTTACAGTTCTCAGGGGGATTAGGTTTGCCAGCAGCGATCACCTTGTATGAGCAGGGTATCTTCTGTCTGCCCAGGGCATTGCTGCCCCAACACAGTAAAGTGCCATAGTCGAGGTCTGTGCGGGCAACGTAAGACAAGGACGACTGGAGACCCTGTGTGGCCACGTGGTTCTCTGCGATGTCAACTACGTCACCGCTGCTGTTAAATCGCCAGAAGAAATGAACAACGGGAGGCACAGCGTCCAGACGGCAAGTGACCGACACTTCTTCGTTCTTAGCGGCGCCGTAGACGTGGACCTGTCCTGAGGCGCACACTGGGGCATCTGACGGCACCAAAACAAACTAATCAAGTAAACCCTGACAGCCAAATGTTATAGACGATAATGTGGTACACACACACACCGCTTTTAAAAAAGAATCACCAGGGAAAATGAATATTTCAGACTCTACGTCTATGTGAAGACTGTCTCCTTAAAAGGCAAAAATATTCATTCTGTCTTTGTGATTCTTTCAATAGATTTAAATGACACGTTGAGATTAAGACACATGCGCAACATCTGGGTATCTTTATTGTAGACGTTTCGCCATCCAGTGGCTTTATCAATACAAATTCTAGGACATAACTTGAAGACAGTAGAACTATGTACAGAAGATGAGGTAATCAGTCCCTCAGCCTAGGAGTAGGTGCGAAGAGCACCATAGTCGTGGAGATTCTGAAGCAGAAGCAAGGATCCTGGCGCTTATATAGTAACGTCAGGTGTAGCAGACGAGGGCATATTCACTGGTAGGCGGGATTCCCCAGTGGAAGTAGGTCCTTCCCAAAGAGATGGGTTAGTTGTAGTAGTAGTTGTCGTAGTCGTGAAGGTTATGTACATGTCCTTAGAATTAAGATTCCATGATGTTGCAGTGTCTGACAAGTTGTGTACGAATGTGTACCAGTGAATATGCCCTCGTCTGCTACACCTGACGTTACTATATAAGCGCCAGGATCCTTGCTTCTGCTTCAGAATCTCCACGACTATGGTGCTCTTCGCACCTACTCCTAGGCTGAGGGACTGATTACCTCATCTTCTGTACATAGTTCTACTGTCTTCAAGTTATGTCCTAGAATTTGTATTGATAAAGCCACTGGATGGCGAAACGTCTACAATAAAGATACCCAGATGTTGCACATGTGTCTTAATCTCATCTTGTCGGTATTATATACCATTCGTACACAAATGACACGTTACATATTGCTGTAGCAGCAACCCTGTTTATATTAAGACATATCACACTATAAACATTTAACAACAGTACAATCGATAAAAATTTTTAAATATATAAATACATTAACGTCAAACGCTGATGATTAAATTAATATTTTTTTATGAAATTAAAACCCAGAAATTATCCTTTTAATTAACTTACTGGTTTAATGTAAATGGTTTAGAAACAACACAAGTTGATAAATGAGACTATTGTTGGAACGTTTCGCCAGCCAGTGGCTTCGTCAGTTCATTACCGAGAAGACTGATGGACTGAACACATCGACCCCAGGTCGAGGGACTGATTACCTGCAACTCCTTATCTATCGTCATTCTTCTCTGTGTTGGACTGATGAAGCCATTAGTTGGCGAAACGTTTCGCCAATAAAGATTCCCAAATGTTGCAGAAGTTTCTCATTGTACAACGTGTAGAAAGGATGAAGGTTGACCTCACAGTCCAGTGTAGAGGTTGACCTCACAGTCCAGTGTAGTGTTGACCTCACAGTCCAGTGTAGTGTTGACCTCACAGTCCAGTGTAGAGGTTGACCTCACAGTCCAGTGTAGTGTTGACCTCACAGTCCAGTGTAGAGGTTGACCTCACAGTCCAGTGTAGTGTTGACCTCACAGTCCAGTGTAGTGTTGACCTCACAGTCCAGTGTAGTGGTTGACCTCACAGTCCAGTGTAGAGGTTGACCTCACAGTCCAGTGTAGTGTTGACCTCACAGTCCAGTGTAGTGGCTGACCTCATACAATCCAGTGTAGTGGTTGACCTCACAGTCCAGTGTAGTGGTTGACCTCACAGTCCAGTGTAGTGGTTGACCTCACAGTCCAGTGTAGTGGTTGACCTCACACAATCCAGCGTAGTGGTTGACCTCACAGTCCAGTGTAGTGTTGACCTCGCACAGTCCAGTGTAATGGTTGACCTCACAGTCCAGTGTAGAGGTTGACCTCACAGTCCAGTGTAGTGGTTGACCTCACAATCCAGTGTAGAGGTTGACCTCACAGTCCAGTGAGGCCTTGCCCTCCCTACACCTGCTCTCCCTACACTTGCCCTCCCTACACCTGCACTCCCTACACTTGCCCTCCCTACACCTGCTCTCCCTACACTTGCCCTCCCTACACCTGCTCTCCCTACACTTGCCCTCCCTACACCTGCTCTCCCTACACCTGTTCTCCCTACACCTGTTCTCCCTACACCTGTCCTCCCTACACCTGCTGTCCCTACACCTGCCCTCTCTACACCTGCCCTCCCTACACCTGCTCTCCCTATACCTGCCCTCCCTACACCTGCCCTCCCTTCACCTACCCTCCCTACACCAGCCCTCCCTCTACACCTGCTGTCCCTACACCTGCTCTCCCTACACCTGGCCACCCTACATCTGCCCTCCCTATACCTGCTGGTGATACCTGCCTGTATATCAATTTACTGTTGCCTCTCTCACACGAACGTACTGACAAGCTCTCTCTCGGGTCATCACATACAAGCAGTCATGCAGTTTTGATTTCCTTATGCCATAGAAACGATACAGTTTACGTGCAATAAAAGATTGGTAGGTACAGGACAAAGCCGCTAATATGCATTGTATTTCACACGTGTGCGAAGAGGCGGGGCCAGGAGCTATGAATCAACCCCTGCAACCACAACTAGGTGAGTACAACTAGGTTACCTGGAGGTTATTCCGGGTATCAACGCCTCCGCGGCCTGGTCCATGACCAGGCCTCCCGATGGATCAGGACCAGATCAACTAGGCTGTTACTGCTGGCCGCACGCAGTCCAACGTACTAGCCACAGCCCGGCTGATCCGGCACTGACTTTAGGTATCTGTCCAGCTCTCTCTTGAAGGCAGCCAGGGGTTTATTGGCAATTCCTCTAATGCTTGATGGGAGGCTGTTGAACAGTCTTGGGCCCCGGACACTTATGGTGTTTTCTCTTAGTGTACCAATGGCGCCCCTACTTTTAATTGGGGGCATTTTGCATCGCCTACCCAGTCTTATACTTTCGTAGGGAGTGATTTCTGTGTGCAGATTTGGGACCATTCCTTCCAGGATTTTCCAAGTGTAGATTATGATATATCTCTCCCTCCTGCGTTCCAACGAGTGCAAGTCAAGTGCTTCCAAGCGTTCCCAGTAGTTAAGGTGCTTGATAGAACTTATACGTGCAGTAAAGGATCTCTTTACACTCTCTAGATCAGCAATTTCACCTGCTTTGAATGGAGATGTTAATGTACAGCAGTATTCCAGCCTAGAGAGAACAAGTGATTTGAAAAGGATCATCATTGGCTTGGCATCTCTCGTTTTGAACGTTCTCATTATCCATCCTATCATTTTCTTTGCACTTGTGATCGTGGCACTGTTGTGATCCTTGAAAGTGAGATCCTCAGACATTACTACTCCCAGGTCCCTTACATTATTTTTCCGCTCTGTTGTATGGTCAGAGTCTGTAGTATACTCTGTTCTAGTTATTATCTCCTCCAGTTTTCCATAACGTAGTAGTTGGAATTTGTCCTCATTGAACATCATATTGTTTACCGTTGCCCACTGGAAAACTTTGTTTATATCTTCTTGGAGGTTAACCGCGGCCTCAGCAGATGACAGCCTCATGCAGATCCTAGTATCATCCGCAAAGGATGATACGGTGCTATGATGTATATCTCTGTCTATGTCTGATATGAGGATGAGGAATAAGAAGGGGGCGAGGACATAGGAAAGTATTGGTTTGGAAATAGGGTAGTTGATGAGTGGAACAGTCTACCTAGTTGGGTTATTGAGGCTAGGACTTTGGGTAGTTTCAAATTTAGGTTGGATAAGTACATGAGTGGGAGGGGTTGGATTTGAGTGGGACTTGCACATCAGAGCTTATTTCTTGGGTAGCATTGAAAATTGGGTTGGGCAAATGTTTTGTTAGTGGGATGAATTGTAAAGGACCTGCCTAGTATGGGCCAACAGGCCTGCTGCAGTATTCCTCCTTTCTTATGTTATGTACTTATGAGAACTGTGCCTTGTGGAACAGAGCTCTTCACTATGGCAGCCTCCGATTTAATTAACTCTGTTGACCACTACTCTTTGTGTTCGATTTGTTAGGAAGTTGAAGATCCATCTCCCCACTTTCCCAGTTATTCCTTTAGCACGTATTTTATGGGCTATTACGCCATGATCGCATTTGTCAAACGCTTTTGCAATGTCTGTGTATATTACATCTGCATTCTGATTTTCTCCCAGTGCATCGAAGGCCACATCATAGTGATCCAGTAGGTGTGAGAGGCAGGAGCGACCTGCCCTGAACCCATGTTGCCCTGAATTGTGCAGATTTTGGGAATCCAGGTGATTTGCAATCCTGCTTCTTAGCACTCTTTCAAAGATTTTTATGATGTGGGACGTCAGAGCTATTGGTCTATAGTTCTTAGCTAATGCTTTGCTGCCACCTTTATGGAGTGGGGCTATATCCGTTGTTTTAAGTGACTGTGGAACTTCACCCATGTCCAAGCTCCTCCTCCATAGTGTACTTAGGGCACGCGAGAGGGGTTTCTTGCAGTTCTTAATGAAAACAGAGTTCCACGAGTCTGGGCCCGGGGCTGAGTGCATAGGCATGTTGTCAATGGCTTTTTTGAGATCTATAATAAAGTTGGTAGAATTACGGACAATATGTAAAGTAAAAGGACACAAGTGCAACTAATGTGACATTTTATTGTGGCAACGTTTCGCTCTCCAGGAGCTTTATCAAGCCATTACAAACAATACATGGACACAGGGTATATATAGGCTCAGAGTGAGGTGCAATACTAGTGAGGTACCATTTCGATGTTCACTAGTGGTGGTAGTAGTAGTAGTAGTAGTAGTGACAAAAGTAATACAATATGGTAGAGCAATTAATTCGTACATGAGAAAAAGGATATAAAAGCTATTACTTGGGTAACATAAAAATATTTGTCCAACCTATTTTTATGTTACCCAAGTAATAGCTTTTATATCCTTTTACTCTTGTACGAATCAATTGCTCTATCATATTGTATTACTTTTGTCACTACCACTACTACTACTACTACTACTACTACCACCACTAGTGAACATCGAAATGGTACCTCACTAGTATTACGCTTCACTCTGAGCCTATATATACCCTCTGTGTCCATGTATTGTTTGTAATGGCTTGATAAAGCTCCTGGAGAGCGAAACGTTGCCACAATAAAATGTCACATTAGTTGCACTTGTGTCCTTTTACTTTTTCGAAATCTATCGGAGTTAGGGTAATGTCGGAAATCTGGCATACATTTATGGAGTTTTGAGGCTCATTCATGAAGAAATCATTTGGGTCGTCGATCCTCAGACCGATTAGTGGTTCACTAAACACAGAGTCATACTGGGATTTCAATATTTCACTCATTTCCTTGTTGTCATCTGTGTAAGTCCCATCCTGTCTGAGTAAGGGCCCAATACTAGATGTGGTATTTGCCTTGTTTTTGGCATATGAAAAGAAATATTTTGAATTTCTTTCAATTTTACTAAATAGCTTTAAGCTCCTCCTGTCTCTCCTGGTTCCTGTAAGAGTCATTTAACTTAAGTTCGATAGTTTCCACTTCCCTGGTCAGCGCCTCCTTTCGTGTATCAGATATTCCAACACTCCTGAGGAGCTCAGTGACTCTTCGTCGTCTTCTGTAGAGGGAGTGTCTTTCTCTCTCCAGTTTACTCCTGCTCTTCTTCTTTCTTAGGGGAATATGCCTAGAACATGCTTCAGCTGCCAGAAAGTGGATCCTTTCAAGGCACTGGCTTGGATCCATGTCATTTAAGATATCTTCCCAACATGTTTCGTTTACGACATGGTTTACCTGGTCCCAGTTGATGTTCTTGTTGTTGAAGTTGTATTTTGTGAAGACACCTTCACAGGTACATGCATTCTGCTGATAAGGACCCCTATGCATGTACGTCTGGACTTTGATTAGGTTGTGATCGGAATTAATTGTTTTTGATATTGTTATGTCTCTTATCAGGTCCTCATTATTTGTGAAGATAAGGTCAAGTGTGTTTTCTAGTCTTGTTGGCTCCACTATTTGCTGGCTTAAGGTGTGTTTTTCGCAGAGACTTAGTAGCTCATGTGTGTGTGACCTTTCATCTGCGCTACCTCCGGGGATTGTTTCAGCTATAACATTATTTGCTGCATTCTTCCATTTTGTATGCCTTAGGTTGAAATCACCAAGCAGTAAGATGTTTGGGGATGGAGCTGGAAGGTTTTCCAGACAGTAATCAATTTTCAGTAGCTGTTCCTTGAACTGTTGGGAGGTTGCATCTGGTGGCTTATATACAACCACAATGACACCTAGGTGAGTACAACTAGGTGAATACACCTAGACGAGGACAACTAGGTGAATACACCTAGGTGAGTACAACTAGGTGAATACACCTAGATGAGTACAACTAGGTGTATACACCTAGGTGAGTACAACTAGGTGAATACACCTAGACGAGTACAACTAGGTGAATACACCTAGGTGAGTACAACTAGGTGAATACACCTAGACGAGTACAACTAGGTTAGTATACACATACACCGTAGAAAGCAGTGGCGGTCATAGATATTGGTAAATAGATATGCATGCACGCGCGCGCACACACACACACACACACACACACACACACACACACACACACACACACACACACACACACACACTAAAATTCATATTGGTCTTACATTGAACTCTGAGGACGACTGCATTACTCTGACCGTCTCCCTCGATGTTAGAGGCCACACAGGTATACAGACCAGTTTGTTGACGACGGACTCTCTGGATCACCAGACTCTGGTTACTGACGATCACTCCTGCAGACACGTTGTGTTGCACCTGCACTCCCTGCAACACCACCAACACACCAGACACACAACAGTGTATTATGATCAATGTAAAACAAAGGGACGATTGAATGAACGGTGATGGAAAATGTTTTAAAATCTGGAATATCAATTTTTTGAGGGTAAGAGTTGAATTTATTTCGATTTTCAGTTCCTGGAGGAGTAAATATTTGTTTATACTAATAAACATATTTCATTAGAAAAAAATTACAATAAAAGCTTTACAACTTATAAAAGAAAACATTGTATTAAATATTCTGACTTGACTCACGAAATCGTAATGACACGATTGTAAACAAACCATATCACGGATGGGGTTAGAACCCGTGGTATCGTTTGTTTAAATATTCTAACTTATTATGATGTAAAACAAATCCGGAGAAGAACGAGAAGGAATAATACAGAAAACTGACATGTTGATAAAAGAAACATTTGTCTTAGTTATCAAGAAATAAAATGTGTGTGAAAGAATAAGATGAATAGAAATAAAAGTGGAAAATGGAGGTGAAAGTAAGAAAGATGATGTAAGAAACTTATATATGCATGCAAGAATCGAGAACAAACGATACAAGATGTAAAACAACCACGGGGGAAGTTGAATGATAGCTCTAGGCCTTCCGTATTGCAAACACACCAGGAGCTTGCAGAAATGAGCAGGAAGGCCAGGTAAAAGCGTTCAAGGGAACGACTCGAGCTAGAATGACATGGCATCAAGCAGACCAGTGCCAGGTGCCAGACAGATGAAAGCAAGATAATATAATATCCTTTCTTCTACCAGTACATGTACAAGGTATGCAGACCATAGCTGACATCAATGACATACTACTATATAGAAAGCCGCTTGTTATGCTGAGTATTTCCCGCAAATTAGGTCAATTTTGTCCCAGGATGCGACCCACACCAGTTCACTAACACTCAGGTACCCATTTTACTGATGGGTGAACGTGGACAACCGGTGTCAGGAAACACGCCCAGTGTTTATACTCTCACCGGGAACTGAACCCGGACCCTCACCGTGTGAAGCGAGAGCTTTTGCCACCAGGCCACAGGGCACCAGTAGCAGTAGAGGTATATCGTAAGCCATCAACATTAAATATTTAGTAATAACCTAGCGACCTCAACATTAATGACACGGCAATCACCAACATACTGTCAAACTTCAGACCGCATTATAAAAGACTTAAATATTCTGATCTCAAAGCAAAAAAGAGGGAAGACCCTCCTATTTCCAGAAGCTGGCCCGGCACACCCTCAGGTAAACGCTGGTTTACCAATGATAGTCAATTTGTCAGTGTAGAGCTGCACTGATGACAATCTAGCAAGTTAAGGTATGAGTCCCCCTTCAGGTTGTGTACAATGCGTTCAGGTATAAAATAGAGGAAAATATAAATAATGAATAGGAAATAACCAAGAATAGGGAAAAATTTACCAATGAATAGTAAAAAACAAAACTAAACTAAAGAATAGGAAAAAAGAAAATAAACCAAAGACCAGGAAAATAAGTAAAAAACGTAGGTTAAATATGAAATAAGTCTTCCCTGAAACCTTCTCATCTGCTTAGTCAGAATTACACAGAAAAACCATTCAATTTTTAAGAGATTTCAATGGAAACTAAAGAGATATTTAATGTTTCTGTGTTATGAATCACTGGAGGCCCGTGTGTGTGTGTGTGTGTGTGTGTGTGTGTGTGTGTGTGTGTGTGTGTGTGTGTGTGTGTGTGTGTGTGTGTGTGTACTCACCTAGTTGAGGTTGCAGGGGTCGAGTCCAAACTCCTGGCCCCGCCTCTTCACTGGTCGCTACTAGGTCACTCTCCCTGAACCGTGAGCTTTATCATACCTCTGCTTAAAGCTATGTATGGATCCTGCCTCCACTACATCGCTTCCCAAACTATTCCACTTACTGACTACTCTGTGGCTGAAGAAATACTTCCTAACATCCCTGTGATTCATCTGTGTCTTCAACTTCCAACTGTGTCCCCTTGTTGCTGTGTCCCATCTCTGGAACATCCTGTCTTTGTCCACCTTGTCAATTCCTCTCAGTATTTTATATGTCGTTATCATGTCCCCCCTATTTCTCCTGTCCTTCAGTGTCGTCAGGTTGATTTCCCTTAACCTCTCCTCGTAGGACATACCTCTTAGCTCTGGGACTAGTCTTGTTGCAAACCTTTGCACTTTCTCTAGTTTCTTTACATGCTTGGCTAGGTGTGGGTTCCAAACTGGTGCCGCATACTCCAATATGGGCCTAACGTACACGGTGTACAGGGTCCTGAACGACTCCTTATTAAGATGTCGGAATGCTGTTCTGAGGTTTGCCAGGCGCCCATATGCTGCAGCAGTTATTTGGTTGATGTGCGCTTCAGGAGATGTGCCTGGTGTTATACTCACCCCAAGATCTTTTTCCTTGAGTGATGTTTGTAGTCTCTGGCCCCCTAGACTGTACTCCGTCTGCGGTCTTCTTTGCCCTTCCCCAATCCTCATGACTTTGCACTTGGTGGGATTGAACTCCAGGAGCCAGTTGCTGGACCAGGTCTGCAGCCTGTCCAGATCCCTTTGTAGTTCTGCCTGGTCTTCGAACGAATGAACTCTTCTCATCAACTTCACGTCATCTGCAAACAGGGACACCTCGGAGTTTATTCCTTCCGTCATGTCGTTCACAAATACCAGAAACAGCACTGGTCCTAGGACTGACCCCTGTGGGACCCCGCTGGTCACAGGTGCCCACTCTGACACCTCGCCACGTACCATTACTCGCTGCTGTCTTCCTGACAAGTATTCCCTGATCCAATGCAGTGCCTTCCCTGTTATCCCTGCTTGGTCCTCCAGTTTTTGCACTAATCTCTTGTGTGGTACTGTGTCAAAAGCCTTCTTGCAGTCCAAGAAAATGCAATCCACCCACCCCTCTCTCTCTTGTCTTACTGCTGTCACCATATCATAGAACTCCAGTAGGTTTGTGACACAGGATTTCCCGTCCCTGAAACCATGTTGGCTGCTGTTGATGAGATCATTCCTTTCTAGGTGTTCCACCACTCTTCTCCTGTGTGTGTGTGTGTGTGTGTGTGTGTGTGTGTGTGTGTGTGTGTGTGTGTGTGTGTGTGTGTGTGTGTGAGCGCGCGCTCGCCTAATTGTGGTTGCAGGGGTCGAGTCATAGCTTCTGGCCCTGCCTCGTCACTGATCAATACTTGGTCACTCTCCCTGCTTTATCATACCTCTTCTTAAAGCTTTGTATGGTACCTCGCTCCACTACATCACTTTCCAGACTATTACACTCCCTGAAAACTCTATGATTAGAGAAATACATCCTAATATGCCCGCGACTCATCTTAGTCTTCAACCCCTTGTTGCTGTATCCCATCTCTGAAACATCCTGTCATTGTCCATCTTGGTAATTCGTCTCAGTATTTTAAATGTCGTTATCATGTTTCCCTCTGACCCTGTCCACAAGTTCCCTTAACCTCTCCTCGTAGGACATCCTCCATAGCTCCTGGACTAGTCTCTTTGCAAATATTTGCACCTTCTCTAGTTTCCTGACGTGCTTGACCAGGTGTGGGTTCTAAACTGGTGCTGCATACTCCAATACTGGCCTGATGTACACGGTGTACAGGATCCAGAACGATTCCTTACTGAGATGCCATAATGCTATTCTTAGGTTCGCTAGTCGCCCATATGCTGCAGCAGTTATTTGGTTGATGTGTGCCTCAGGAGATGTGCTCGGTATTATACACCTACCCCCCGAAGATCCTTTTCTTTGAGTGTGGTTTGTAGTCTGCGATCTTCTTTACCCTTCCCTGATCTTCATGACTTTGCACTTGGCGGGGTTGAACTCCAGGAACCAGTTGCTGGACCAAGCTTGCAGCCTGTCCAGATCCCTCTGTAGTCCTGCCTTATTCTCCTGAATCCTCTTCATCGTCTGCAAACGGGAACACTTCCGAGTCTATCCCTTCCGTCATGTCATTCACATATACCAGAAACAACCCCTGTGGAACCCCGCTCGTCACAGGCTCGTTACAGTCCAAGAAAATGCAGTCTATCTACCCCTCTCTCTCTTGTCTTACTTCCTTCACCTTGTCATAAAATTCCAATAGGTTAGTGACACAGGATTTCCCTTCCCTGAAACCGTACTATACATGTCAGTAACTTTGGTCTGTAGTTTAATGCCACGTCCCTGTCTCCTATTTTTTAAAAACTGGGACTACATTTGCTGTTTTCCACACCTCAGGTAGTCGCCTATTTTCGATGGATGTGTTGAAGATTATTGTTAGTGGCACACACAGCCCCTCTGCTCCCTCTCTCAGAACCCACGGAGAGAGATGTTGTCCAGTTCCACTGCTTTTGAGGTATCTATTTCACATAGCAGCCCCTTCACCTCCTCGGCTGTGTGTGTGTTGTGTCCAGCACTTGCTTGTGTACCCCAACATTTTGGCTTTCCGGAGTCCTTTCTGTCTCCACTGAAAATGCTTCCTTAAACCTCATGTTAAACTCTTCACTTACTTCCTGGTTATTTCTTGTTAACTCCCATTCTTCTTCTCTCTGCTTGATTACCTTGTCCTTGACTGTTGTTTTCCTCCTGCTGTGGTTGTACAACAGCTTCGGGTCAGACTTGGTTGTCGATGCTATTTCGTTTTCGTATTGCCGCTGAGCCTCCCTCTTTTCATGTTCTTATTCGTTTCTGGCTCTTCAAGTAATTTCTATTTTCCTGGGTCCTTTGTCTTCTGTACCTTTTCCATTCTCAAGTGCATTTAATTTTGGACTTTCTACACTTCTGGGTGAACCAAGGGCTTGTTCTTGTCTTCCCATTATATCTGTTGCCCCTGGGAACGAACCTCTCCTTTGTCTCCTTGCATTTTGTTGTCACGTAGTCCATTTTATTTACTGATTTTCCCATCAACTGAACCTCCTGCTTCTATCTCCACCTGTAACACTACTATGTATTCGAAGCTCAGGACCATTTGATAACTAGTTCTGAGGGGTCTGTTGTATGTTATGTTCTCAGTGTTTGAATTTCTCAAGGTGAATATAAGGTCCAGTCTTGCTGGCTCATCCTCTCCTCTCTCTCTCCCTCTCTCTCTCTCTCTGGTAGTGTCCCTAACATGTTGATGCATGAGGTTTCTCAGTACCACTTCCATCATCTTGGCCCTCCACGTTTCTGGTCCCCCATGTGGCTCCAGGCTTTCCCAGTCAATCTCTTTGTGACTGAAATCACCCACAACTACTAACTTTGCTATACCCATATGGTTCCTTCTGACCACCTCAGCTAGTGTGCCCACCATTGCTCTGTTGCTCTCATATTCTTCTCTTGGCCTCCTGCTATACTGTGGACGGTTGTACATGACTGCAATCACCACCTTCGGACCCCCTAGTCTGAGTTGTTCCTACTATGTATTATTATTTTAATCAAAAAGAAGCGCTAAGCCACAAGGGCTATACAGCTCCTACTATGTAGTCACTTCTATTCTATTCCTTCCATTTCCTCGAATCTCCACCGGTTTTTAATGAGCATTGCAACTCCTTCGCCTCTGTTCCCTCTATCTGTTCTCAGGATCTGATATTCAGATGGAAAGATAGAATTTGTTATCATCCCAGTGAGCTTTGTTTCTGTGAGTGCTATGATGTCTGAGGATGCCTCCACGATTCTTTCATGCCACTCTACCTATTTATTTGTTATTCCGTTTGCGTTGTTGTACCAAACCTTCAACTTCTGTTCTAAAACTGTGGTCTGGGGGTAAAGGGAGCCGGGAGACCTGTGTGTGTATGTGTGTGTGTGTGTGTGTGTGTGTGTGTGTGTGTGTGTGTGTGTGTGTGTGTGTGTGTGTGTGTGTGTGTGTGTGTGTGTGTATGTATGTGTGTGTGTGTGTGTGTGTATGCATGTGTGTGTGTGTGTGTGTATGTATGTGTGTGTGTGTGTGTATGTATGTGTGTGTGTGTGTGTGTGTGTGTATGTGTGTGTGTGTGTGTGTATGTATGTGTGTGTGTGTGTGTGTGTGTGTGTGTGTGTGTGTGTGTGTATGTATGTATGTATGTGTGTGTGTGTGTGTGTGTGTGTGTGTGTGTGTGTGGCGCGCGCGCGTGTAGCTAAATACTTCCTACACATTTTATTTTTTTTGTTTCATCTTTTATTTAAAATTAAATTTCTTTTAAATGCTTCCTAAAATTTTATATTCATTTCAAGTTGTATAATGTTATGGTGTCTTGTTCTCCATGTTGGTGACACGATGTACACAAGTCTGATCCTGTAGAGCATCTTAATGTGTGTCAGTGCTGAGAGTATAAATACTTGCATCACACTCAATCTTACTAGCAGGTGTTGGATTTGTGGTACAATGTGTGTTGATCCCTGGCGAGGGAGAGTTGAAGCGAGTTCAAGGCACTTTCACAACCAGAGGTGTTTGTTAAAATAATACCCGGGCTATTTTCAACACAAACACACACACACACACACACGATAATAAAGTAGGTTAGACTTACATTATGATACCAGAGGACCTTGTAAACGTAGGGATGAGCTCTGACGTTGCACTCAAAGTAAACATCGTCTCCTTCCTTTATTTCATTTGGACTGAGGTTGCTACCCATCGCCAGGTACACATGTGGGGTGTCTGGGGCAGAAGAGAGAATAATACAAGTTACAGTATTGTTACGGGAACCATTCACAACTTAAGTTTTAAATTGGGAATAACTAGAGAGCATTTCGGTCCCGTCTGGACCACTGTTATGACTTAAGAATGACCCAAGACAGTTCAGAACATCGTTGATTTTTATCTTTAACGAGTGTTGTGGCTGAAATTTAGACTCATGAACAGAACGTCAGAGGTTGGCTGGAAACGAACAAGAGAACTCTAAGAGCTTCTACCAGGTAAGAACCTTCATCTATAACATCTACTAGGAAGTACTGAACATCATTAACAAAAGATAAGACTCCTTCAAATTTGAAAAAAAAAAACAGTGGCTCTAAGCCAAACTTCAAGATCCCACTGAAAAAATGCATCCCCACACTGAATGTAAGCGGAAGTCAGAACTGAAATGACTAGACATTTCTGCCTCTGCTTCCCTGCTCCACATCTCTATCACGAGATTTTTGTAGCAATAAGAAACTCTAGTGTACTCAACATCTGGATGCTGTTACTCTCAAGTACACAACAGAGTCCCTACTAGAATACATCAGAAATATCAAAGAGCTGTTACAGAATCTAGGTCTTTTTCTAAACACATGCAAATGTGAGCTGGTGTTGTCCAGTCACCGTACAGCTGCCTTGGAAGGAGCGTTAGTGATTCCACTGGTAGTACTCTACCCTCTGCTTCACTCTGGTCTAACCCCATCGCTGAAATTTACCGAAAACAAATATCACAGACTTCAAAAAAGATGGAAACCAGGATCAGAAACATCGTTACTCAGGATTAATATTTTTCTGCTCACTGGATGTCTGGCCTCTCTAAGCTTATCTAACTTTTACGATGCTCTGCATTTTACGTCACACACTGAGTGAACATCACGTCCCTTTAGTGTTCATGGTAGAAACGTCCCTAAACAAATTACAATGAATCACTAAATCGTAATAATACGATCGAAAACAGATCAGGGAACGGGTGGGAGTTGAACCATGGCAGACTGGACAAATATTAACCATCACAGATAGGTTTACTAGCCCTCTGATGCTCATCCTACAGATCCACTGAACCATGAAATCAATTCTGCCAGAACATATAGGTAAGTCTGTGGTGTGGCAGCACACCTACACAAGTAGCAACACCACATATACTATCTCAGTATAAATAATAAGACCAGCAGAGAACATTGCCAACGAACAATCTATCCAGGACGAACTTATCTTGAGAAAGATGTTAGCAGTTATCATGGAAGGTATAAGATCGGGAAAGAGGAGAGAGGTTTCCTTTGAGCTATGAACTTACATCACTTTGGTGATTTTCTCTTAACGGTTCAGGTACACAACTTGACCTGCAGACACTCTGCAAGTCTTCTTACTGCCATACTAAGTACTTATGTATTTGCATCAAAGCGATAAATGACCAATATTGTCTGAGTAGTGCAAGTTCCACAGGATGGGATGTTCAACACAATGATGTCAACGAGACAACCAAGAAAGTTTGCTACAACTCACTGCCAAGCAGAGAGAGATCCCAAATACGCCATCAAGTTGCTCCGATGGGATCTCATTATGTACCTGGAAGAAGAAATTATGCATCTGTCGTAGGTCATACCTAGATCCTATTCAGTGCTGGTCAGCAACCAGACGCTGCTGGTCATAGGAACGTACATAAGTTCAACATATGCAGGAACTTGGCCCAGCACCGCTTCATCCCAACAGGATCAGAGATCTTGACGTCTGGTAAAGCACTTCTGAAGCTGATGTAAACAAAACAAGGTTAGTATTAAAATAAATGAAAACGATACTCAGGAATCAGACATTAAATTTTTCTAACTCACGACAGATGAATTCAGAATGAGTCCATCAAGTTCTACGAGGCAGTTATTCACCATAAGCTGGTGATACAGCAACAAATACATTAAATGATTACCTGTTAGCATTTACAGAAGAAGAAAAATGCTTGTGTTGTCACCTCTTCAGTACACAAATGATCTCGTAGGAGATAAACAACAGACTCTGACCTCGCTTCACTCCACTCTTGTGTCGCTACTTTTCGCCCTACACACTACAACAACTACTATTACTACACAACTACCTCTTCCACTACTATCTTCACGTTCTTCTTTCTACCTCTTTCTCCCGTCCCTGTCCTCCTCTCCTATATATATATATATATATATATATATATATATATATATATATATATATATATATATATATATTATATAAACCCCCTTATCTTCAATGGCCCAAGTCGGACCGAAACGTCGTCATAATTTTCAGCCTTTTATGTACGGATTATTTGTGTATTGTTTAGACCACAATCATGATTATCAATATTTTTTTTCCTCTCACACACACACATCTCGCCTCACTCAGGATGCGACCCACAACTGTCCATTAACACCCAGGTACCTACTTACTGCTAGGTGAAACACCGCAGCGGGTGTTGCGAAACTCGGCAATCTGTCTCGCTTTGTCGGCATCGATCCCCCCACTTATCGGCGGTGGTGGTGAGGCGAACACCGACCTCTGAGCTGCAAGTCACCGCTTTGTCCTATTATTGATGGTACACAACACTGACAGGTTGCTGAATAACACACGTGTGACACCTGGCTAACTTTTTTAGCGAGCCATTTAGCCACCACAAGAATCTTCTTCAGTCGAGTACAAGCGAATGTAGCACTGGGAGCAGCTTAGTAATTATAGTAGAAGGCTGTTGTAGTACCAGTAGTAACACTACTACTAGCGATAGTACAACCTAATACTAGTACTAGTACAACCTAATACTAGTACTAGCAGTACAACGTACTAGAAGTGCTAGTATTAATATTAGTACTAGTACTAATGCTAATAGTACTAGTACTAATGCTACTAATAGTAGAAGGCTGTTGTAGTACCAGTAGTAACACTACTAATAGTAGAAGGCTGTTGTAGTACCAGTAGTAACACTACTACTAGCGATAGTACAACAACCTAATACTAGTACTAGTACAACGTACTAGGAGTGCTAGTATTAATATTAGTACTAGTACTAATGCTAATAGTATTAGTACTAATGCTCCTAATAGTACTAGTACTAATGCTACTAATAGTACTAGTACTACTACTAGTAGTAGTAGCTGTAGCAGTTTTGACGTGATCAGTCTCCAGTGATAAATTTAACTTGCATTCGACTGAAGATGCTGTTGTGTGGGCGAAACGTTCCGTCAGTAAAGATGCCCAAGTGTTGCTCGTTTCACTCATTCCTCAAGACTACGAATACACTGAAGATAAACTAAACGTTCACTAACACAACGGTCGCAGAGTGATCGGCTCGCAAACAAAACGAGGCAAGTGGGTAGAGATAAAACCCTCTCCTCACGTCTGTTGCTGCTGGAACCTGGGTACTAGGAGACTGTTGCTTCTGGAACCTGGGTACTAGGAGACTGTTGCTCCTGGAACCTGGGTACTAGGAGACTGTTGCTCCTGGAACCTGGGTACTAGGAGACTGTTGCTCCTGGAACCTGGGTACTAGGAGACTGTTGCTTCTGGAACCTGGGTACTAGGAGACTGTTGCTCCTGGAACCTGGGTACTAGGAGACTGTTGCTCCTGGAACCTGGGTACTAGGAGACTGTTGCTCCTGGAACCTGGGTACTAGGAGACTGTTGCTCCTGGAACCTGGGTACTAGGAGACTGTTGCTTCTGGAACCTGGGTACTAGGAGACTGTTGCTCCTGGAACCTGGGTACTAGGAGACTGTTGCTCCTGGAACCTGGGTACTAGGAGACTGTTGCTCCTGGAACCTGGGTACTAGGAGACTGTTGCTCCTGGAACCTGGGTACTAGGAGACTGTTGCTCCTGGAACATGGGTACTAGGAGACTGTTGCTCCTGGAACCTGGGTACTAGGAGACTGTTGCTCCTGGAACCTGGGTACTAGGAGACTGTTGCTCCTGGAACCTGGGTACTAGGAGACTGTTGCTCCTGGAACCTGGGTACTAGGAGACTGTTGCTCCTGGAACATGGGTACTAGGAGACTGTTGCTCCTGGAACCTGGGTACTAGGAGACTGTTGCTCCTGGAACATGGGTACTAGGAGACTGTTGCTCCTGGAACCTGGGTACTAGGAGACTGTTGCTCCTGGAACATGGGTACTAGGAGACTGTTGCTCCTGGAACCTGGGTACTAGGAGACTGTTGCTCCTGGAACATGGGTACTAGGAGACTGTTGCTCCTGGAACCTGGGTACTAGGAGACTGTTGCACCTGGAACTGGGTACTAGGAGACTGTTGCTCCTGGAACCTGGGTACTAGGAGACTGTTGCTCCTGGAACCTGGGTACTAGGAGACTGTTGCTCCTGGAACATGGGTACTAGGAGACTGTTGCTCCTGGAACCTGGGTACTAGGAGACTGTTGCTCCTGGAACCTGGGTACTAGGAGACTGTTGCTCCTGGAACCTGGGTACTAGGAGGCTGTTGCTGCTGGAACCTGGGTACTAGGAGACTGTTGCTCCTGGAACCTGGGTACTAGGAGACTGTTGCTCCTGGAACCTGGGTACTAGGAGACTGTTGCTGCTGGAACCTGGGTACTAGGAGACTGTTGCTCCTGGAACCTGGGTACTAGGAGACTGTTGCTCCTGGAACCTGGGTACTAGGAGACTGTTGCTCCTGGAACCTGGGTACTAGGAGACTGTTGCTCCTGGAACCAGGGTGCTAGGAGACTGTTGCTCCTGGAACCTGGGTACTAGGAGATTGTTGCTCCTGGAACCTGGGTACTAGGAGACTGTTGCTCCTGGAACCTGGGTACTAGGAGACTGTTGCTCCTGGAACCTGGGTACTAGGAGACTGTTGCTCCTGGAACCTGGGTACTAGGAGACTGTTGCTCCTGGAACCTGGGTACTAGGAGACTGTTGCTCCTGGAACCTGGGTACTAGGAGACTGTTGCTCCTGGAACCTGGGTACTAGGAGACTGTTGCTCCTGGAACCTGGGTACTAGGAGACTGTTGCTCCTGGAACCTGGGTACTAGGAGACTGTTGCTCCTGGAACATGGGTACTAGGAGACTGTTGCTCCTGAAACATGGGTACTAGGAGACTGTTGCTGCTGGAACCTGGGTACTAGGAGACTGTTGCTCCTGGAATCTGGGTACTAGGAGACTGTTGCTCCTGGAACCTGGGTACTAGGAGAATGTTGCTCCTGGAACCTGGGTACTAGGAGACTGTTGCTGCTGAAACCTGGGTACTAGGAGACTGTTGCTCCTGAAACCTGGGTACTAGGAGACTGTTGCTCCTGAAACCTGGGTACTAGGAGACTATTGCTCCTGAAACCTGGGTACTAGGAGACTGTTGCTCCTGGAACCTGTGTACTAGGAGACTGTTGCTCCTGGAACCTGGGTACTAGGAGACTGTTGCTCCTGGAACCTGGGTACTAGGAGACTGTTGCTCCTGAAACCTGGGTACTAGGAGACTGTTGCTCCTGAAACATGGGTACTAGGAGACTGTTGCTGCTGGAACCTGGGTACTAGGAGACTGTTGCTCCTGAAACCTGGGTACTAGGAGACTGTTGCTCCTGGAACATGGGTACTAGGAGACTGTTGCTCCTGGAACCTGGGTACTAGGAGACTGTTGCTCCTGGAACCTGGGTACTAGGAGACTTGCTCCTGGACCCTGGGTACTAGGAGATTTTGTAGATGAATGGTTCAGAGAACCGACATGTTGATAAATTAGACACATGTGCAACTCTTGGGTATCTTTATTGAGGAAACGTTTCGCCACACAGTGGCTTCATCAGTCCATACAAAGTAGAATCTTGAAGAACAGGAGGAGAATGAGGTAATCAGTCCCTCAACCTTGAGTCGATGTGGTCAGTCCATCAATCTTGAATAGAATACGGAATACGTGCGGAGAAGGAGCTTATAAACCGTTGGCAGGAGAGGTGCAGCAGTCGTAGGTGGTGTAACATTTGTTCAATGTGGAAGTAGGTCGTGCCCAAGGGTTAGGCAAGCGAAGAATTCCCAAGTATTAAGATCCCAAGAAGTTGCAGTGTCTGACAGGTTTGTAGGTGAATGGTTCAGAGAACCGACACGTTGATAAATTAGACACATGTGCAACTCTTGGGTATCTTTATTGAGGAAACGTTTCGCCACACAGTGTGGCGAAACGTTTCCTCAATAAAGACACCCAAGAGTTGCACATGTGTCCAATTTACTAGGAGACTGTTGCTCCTGGAACCTGGGTACTAGGAGACTGTTGCTCCTGAAACCTGGGTACTAGGAGACTGTTGCTCCTGAAACCTGGGTACTAGGAGACTGTTGCTCCTGGAACATGGGTACTAGGAGACTGTTGCTCCTGGAACATGGGTACTAGGAGACTGTTGCTCCTGGAACATGGGTACTAGGAGACTGTTGCTCCTGGAACATGGGTACTAGGAGACTGTTGCTCCTGGAACATGGGTACTAGGAGACTGTTGCTCCTGGAACATGGGTACTAGGAGACTGTTGCTCCTGGAACCTGGGTACTAGGAGACTGTTGCTCCTGGAACCTGGGTGCTAGGAGACTGTTGCTCCTGGAACCTGGGTACTAGGAGACTGTTGCTCCTGGAACATGGGTACTAGGAGACTGTTGCTCCTGGAACCTGGGTACTAGGAGACTGTTGCTCCTGGAACCTGGGTGCTAGGAGACTGTTGCTCCTGGAACCTGGGTGCTAGGAGACTGTTGCTCCTGGAACCTGGGTACTAGGAGACTGTTGCTCCTGGAACCTGGGTACTAGGAGACTGTTGCTCCTGGAACCTGGGTGCTAGGAGACTGTTGCTCCTGGAACCTGGGTGCTAGGAGACTGTTGCTCCTGGAACCTGGGTGCTAGGAGACTGTTGCTCCTGGAACCTGTGACTGTAGCAACAATTCACAATGACCACAAGAACAGTTTTTAAGTGGAAGTTATGGTGCGTCCGGTGCCCTTGTGACTGGAAAAAGACCCAGGATTGAGCGAAACGTCTCCCAGAGTCCCCTCTCCAGTCAGTATGTGCATGTTTAAGTGTGTGAAAGCGAGTGAGTGTTGACTTACACTGGACGTCCAGTTTCCAGAGGTCGTAGAGGGGCTGGTGGTCAATGACGGGTGACTCGGCCAAACATTTCAAGAACTTGCCTCCGTCAGCGTCACTGGGCACCAGCAGTAGTTTACTTAGCGTCACGTTACCGTTGCTCGCAGTCTGTCCAGGAGAGAGGTAACCCACGTCAATGATCATCGTAAGAAGTAAACAAGAAAGTTCACATAGATAGAAGGTGGGAATGTTTTGGAATATTTACCTGGGACCTGACGAGTCTAAAAACCTGAAGACTAATGATTCTGGAAGAGTGCAAACCTTTAACAGGAGTTACTTATTCACTCATATAGCAAAATAAATTCATTGGTGTTGATAAAGTGGGTGAAACTCTGTTTTTACTTCTTGTAAAGCTTGATCTCACTATGGTAGTGAAACTGTGGCTTTACTCCTCCTAAGGCTTGATAAAGCTCACTGTTGAGGAGCAAGCTTGTGTCTCTGTCTATTAAATAATGTACACAACCTACAGATCTTACTCTTATTATCACACGTGTTGCCATGCCTGGGCCAGTAGACCTTCTGCAGTGCTTATGTGGTCTTTTGTACTACTACTACTATTACTATTACTACCACTGCTGCTACTACTACCACTCGTAAAACTACCTCTGTAACTACCTTACAACTATTTCCGCTGCAACTGGCATTACTATTACTACCGCTAATTCTGCTACTACAACTACTACCACCACCACCACTCCATTCTTCTCTGTTTTCTGATCTTCTCTGGTTTACTGGCTCAGTTGTGGCTTGACAATCCTCAAAGATTTAGCAAAATTCCCTGTTAAGTTTGTTCTTGAAGGTGTAGTGTTGCAGCCAATATTGTGACCATCACAGTGTTGTGACCATAGTTAGGTCACAGTGTTGTGACCATCATACAGTGAGGTCATAGTGTGACCACCATAGCGAGGTCATAGTGTGACCATAGTGAGGTCACATTGTGACCATGCAGTGAGGTTACAGTTGTAACCTTCATAGTGAGGTCACAGTGTTGTGACATTCATAGTGAGGTCACAGTGTTGTGACTTTCATAGTGAGGTCAGTGATGTGACCATAGTGAGGTCACAGTGTTGTGACCATGCAGTGAAGTCACAGTGTTGTGACTATGCAGTGAGTTCACAGTGTTGTGACCATGCAGTGAAGTCACAGTGTTATGACCATGCAGTGAGGTCTGTTGTGACCATAGTGAGGTCACAGTGTTGTGACCATAGTGAGGTCAGTGTTGTGACCATAGTGAGGTCACAGTGCTGTGACCATAGTGAGGTCACAGAGTTGTGACCATAGTGAGGTCACAGTGTTGTGACCATAGTGAGGTCACAGTGTTGTGACCATAGTGAGGTCACAGTGTTGTGACCATAGCCAGGTCATACTGTGACGATAGTGAGGTCACAATGTTGTGATCATAATGAGGTCACAGTGTTGTGACCATATTGAGGTCAGTGTTGTGACCATACAGTGAGGCCATAGTGTTGTGACCATCATAGTGGGGTCACATTGTCACCATGCAGAGAGATCACAGTTTTGTGACTATCATAGTGAGGTCACAGTGTTGTGATCATAGTGAGGTCACAGTGCTGTGACCATCATAGTGAGGTCACACTGTGATCATACTGAGGTCACAGTGTTGTGACCATATTGATGGCACAGTGTTGTGACCATAGTGAGGTCACAGTGTTGTGACCATATTGATGGTACAGTGTTGTGACCATAGTGAGGTCACAGTGTTGTGACCATCAGTGAGGTCACAGTGTTGTGACCATCATAGTGATGTCACAGTGCTGTGACCATATTGAGGTCACAGTGTTGTGACCAGTGAGGTCACAGTGTTGTGATTTTAGGTCACAGTGCTGTGACCATTATAGTGAGGTCACATTGTGACCATACAGTGAGGTCACAGTGTTGTGGCCATACAGTGAGGTCATAATGTTGTGACCACCATAGGTCAAATTGTGGCCATGCAGTGAGGTCACAGTGCTGTGACCATCATAGTGAGGTCACAGTGTTGTGACCATCATAGTGAGGTCACAGTGTTATGACCATCATAGTGAGGTCACAGTGTTATGACCATCATAGTGAGGTCACAGTGTTATGACCATAGTGAGGTCACAGTGTTGTGATCATACTGAGGTCACAGTGCTGTGACCATAGTGAGGTCACAGTTCTGTGACCACGATGGTGAGGTCACAGTTCTGTGACCATCATAGTGAGGTCACAGTGTTGTGAACATAGTGAGGTCACAGTTCTGCGACCACCATAGTGAGGTCACAGTTCTGCGACCATCATAGTGAGGTCAGTGTTGTGACCATAGTGAGGTCACAGTTCTGTGACCATCAGTGAGGTCACAGTGTTGTGACCATCAGTGAGGTCACAGTGTTGTGACCATCAGTGAGGTCACAGTGTTGTGACCATCAGTGAGGTCACAGTGTTGTGACCATCAGTGAGGTCACAGTGTTGTGACCATCAGTGAGGTCACAGTGTTGTGACCATGCAGTGAGTTCACAGTGTTGTGACCATCATAGTGAGGTCACAGTGTTGTGACCATGCAGTGAGTTCATAGTGTTTTGACCATGCAGTGAGGTCTGTTGTGACCATAGTGAGGTCACAGTGTTGTGACCATAGTGAGGTCACAGTGTTGTGACCATAGTGAGGTCACAGTGTTGTGACCATAGTGAGGTCACAGTGTTGTGACCATAGTGAGGTCACAGTGTTGTGACCATCATAATGAGGTCACAGTTTTGTGACCATGAGGTCACAGTGTTGGGACCATAGTGAGGTCACAGTGTTGTGACCATAGTCAGGTCATATTATGACGATAGTGAGGTCACAATGTTGTGATCATAATGAGGTCACAGTGTTGTGACCATAGTGAGGTCAGTGTTGTGACCATCATAGTGGGGTCACATTGTCACCATGCAGTGAGGTCACAGTTGTGACCATACAGGGGAAAGAGTGTTCACAACTGTAATGGTCTTCGCTAACACAGTTGTCTTGAATAATTATGACCTGAGGATGTTCACAGCTGAGAGAACACATCAGTGAACCAGGATGTTCACAGCTGAGAGAGCACGTCAGTGAACCAGGATGTTCACAGCTGAGAGAGCACGTCAGTGAACCAGGATGTTCACAGCTGAGAGAACACGTCAGTGAACCAGGATGTTCACAGCTGAGAGAACACGTCAGTGAACCAGGATGTTCACAGCTGAGAGAACACGTCAGTGAACCAGGATGTTCACAGCTGAGAGAACACGTCAGTGAACCAGGATGTTCACAGCTGAGAGAACACGTCAGTGAACCAGGATGTTCACAGCTGAGAGAACACGTCAGTGAACCAGGATGTTCACAGCTGAGGGAACACGTCAGTGAACCAGGATGTTCACAGCTGAGAGAACACGTCAGTGAACCAGGATGTTCACAGCTGAGAGAACACGTCAGTGAACCAGGATGTTCACTGCTGAGAGAACACGTCAGTGAACCAGGATGTTCACAGCTGAGAGAACACGTCAGTGAACCAGGATGTTCACAGCTGAGAGAACACGTCAGTGAACCAGGATGTTCACAGCTGAGAGAACACGTCAGTGAACCAGGATGTTCACAGCTGAGAGAACACGTCAGTGAACCAGGATGTTCACAGATGAGAGAACACGTCAGTGAACCAGGATGTTCAAAGCTGAGACACCACGTCAGTGAACCAGGATGTTCACAGCTGAGAGAACACGTCAGTGAACCAGGATGTTCACAGCTGAGAGAACACGTCAGTGAACCAGGATGTTCACAGCTGAGAGAACACGTCAGTGAACCAGGATGTTCACAGCTGAGAGAACACGTCAGTGAACCAGGATGTTCACAGCTGAGGGAACACGTCAGTGAACCAGGATGTTCACAGCTGAGAGAACACGTCAATGAACCAGGATGTTCACAGCTGAGAGAACACGTCAGTGAACCAGGATGTTCACTGCTGAGAGAACACGTCAGTGAACCAGGATGTTCACAGCTGAGAGAACACGTCAGTGAACCAGGATGTTCACAGCTGAGAGAACACGTCAGTGAAAAAGAATGTTCACAGCTGAGAGAACACGTCAGTGAACCAGGATGTTCACAGCTGAGAGAACACGTCAGTGAACCAGGATGTTCACAGCTGAGAGTACACGTCAGTGAACCAGTATGTTCACAGCTGAGAGAACACGTCAGTGAACCAGGATGTTCACAGCTGAGAGAACACGTCAGTGAACCAGGATGTTCACAGCTGAGAGAACACGTCAGTGAACCAGGATGTTCACAGCTGAGAGAACACGTCAGTGAACCAGGATGTTCAAAGCTGAGACACCACGTCAGTGAACCAGGATGTTCATAGCTGAGAGAACACGTCAGTGAACCAGGATGTTCAAAGCTGAGAGAACACGTCAGTGAACCAGGATGTTCACAGCTGAGAGTACACGTCAGTGAACCAGTATGTTCACAGCTGAGAGAACACGTCAGTGAACCAGGATGTTCACAGCTGAGAGAACACGTCAGTGAACCAGGATGTTCACTGCTGAGAGAACACGTCAGTGAACCAGGATGTTCACAGCTGAGAGAACACGTCAGTGAACCAGGATGTTCACAGCTGAGAGAACACGTCAGTGAACCAGGATGTTCACAGCTGAGAGAACACGTCAGTGAACCAGGATGTTCACAGCTGAGAGAACACGTCAGTGAACCAGGATGTTCACAGCTGAGAGTACACGTCAGTGAACCAGTATGTTCACAGCTGAGAGAACACGTCAGTGAACCAGAATGTTCACAGCTGAGAGAACACGTCAGTGAACCAGGATGTTCACAGCTGAGAGAACACGTCAGTGAACCAGGATGTTCAAAGCTGAGACACCACGTCAGTGAACCAGGATGTTCACAGCTGAGAGAACACGTCAGTGAACCAGGATGTTCAAAGCTGAGAGAACACGTCAGTGAACCAGGATGTTCACAGCAGAGAGTACACGTCAGTGAACCAGTATGTTCACAGCTGAGAGAACACGTCAGTGAACCAGGATGTTCACAGCTGAGAGAACACGTCAGTGAACCAGGATGTTCACAGCTGAGAGAACACGTCAGTGAACCAGGATGTTCACAGCTGAGAGAACACGTCAGTGAACCAGGATGTTCAAAGCTGAGAGAACACGTCAGTGAACCAGGATGTTCACAGCTGAGAGAACACGTCAGTGAACCAGGATGTTCACAGCTGAGAGAACACGTCAGTGAACCAGGATGTTCACAGCTGAGAGAACACGTCAGTGAACCAGGATGTTCACAGCTGAGAGAACACGTCAGTGTACCAGGATGTTCACAGCTGAGAGAACACGTCAGTGAACCAGGATGTTCACAGCTGAGAGAACACGTCAGTGAACCAGGATGTTCACAGCTGAGAGAACACGTCAGTGTACCAGGATGTTCACAGCTGAGAGAACACGTCAGTGAACCAGGATGTTCACAGCTGAGAGAACACGTCAGTGAACCAGGATGTTCAGAGCTGAGACACCACGTCAGTGAACCAGGATGTTCACAGCTGAGAGAACACGTTAGTGATCCAGAATTCCGGTGTCGGGTTTATATTCCGGTGTCTGTTTTGTTTCAATGTTTGATTTAGAATGTTCTGGTGTTTGGTTTATGTTTCAGTTTTTTGGTTTATGATGTTCCAATAACTGGTTTATGTTCCAGTGTTTAGTTTATTATGATCCAGTATTTGGTTATGTTCCAGTGCTTGGTTTATTTTCCAGTTTTTGGGTAATTTTCTGGTGTTCGGTTTATGTTCCGGTGTGTGGTTTATAATGTTCCATTCATTGTAAAACAGATAAAACAAGAATTAGCACTAAACAACATAGAATTTCTACCAATCTAAGTTAACTCACTCCCACACTCAGTGTAAACACAAGTTAGTTAACACATTACTACAGTGTTAACACAAGTTAGTTAACTCATTACTACGGTGTTAACATAAGTTAGTTAACTCACTACTACACTCAGTGTTAACACTAGTTAACTCAATACTACACTCACTGGGTTACAATAATTGCCTATGTCATTCAGTCTGTAAATCTGTCTTCTTGGTGAAGGGATTTATGCCGCACCACAGGGTAGGATTACCGTCATTCGCACAATCCCAGCCGCTATGTCAAGTATAAGAATATCTGGCTCCCTTTATCCTTGGCTCCTTGGCTCCCTCGCTCCCTCGCTCCCAATCCCTCGCTGCTCCATCACTTACAGAGATGGTAATATTAGTCACCTCCTCTCCCTCGCTGCTCCATCACTTACAGAGATGGTAATATTAGCCACCTCCTCTCCCTCGCTGCTCCATCACTTACAGAGATGGTAATATTAGCCACCTCCTCTCCCTCGCTGCTCCATCACTTACAGAGATGGTAATATTAGCCACTTCCTCTCCCTCGCTGCTCCATCACTTACAGAGATGGTAATATTAGCCACCTCCTCTCCCTCGCTGCTCCATCACTTACAGAGATGGTAATATTAGCCACCTCCTCTCCCTCGCTGCTCCATCACTTACAGAGATGGTAATATTAGCCACCTCCTCTCCCTCGCTGCTCCATCACTTACAGAGATGGTAATATTAGCCACCTCCTCTCCCTCGCTGCTCCATCACTTACAGAGATGGTAATATTAGCCACCTCCTCTCCCTCGCTGCTGCATCACTTACAGAGATGGTAATATTAGCCTCCTCCTCTCCCTCGCTGCTCCATCACTTACAGAGATGGAAGTGTTGGCCAGCTGGACACCATCTAGCCACCAGGTGAGGGAGGCTGGAGGTCGTGCTCCCACACTCTGACACGCCAGCTCGTACTCCTTGCCAGCAGACACGGCTTCCCTGGAGGCCAGGATTGTCACAGACAGCGGCTTAACTGCAACACAATACACACAACAACAATATAAGAAATAATCCACTTTTAACACGGGGCTTACACAGGTCACTGTTAAGAAAAATGTGGCCTTGTTAGTGTGAATGTGTAAATATTCGTATAGTGAGGGACTTGATCCATGTAATGAGAGACTTTAAAATATAGTGATGAACTTTAACAGTAATATAACGAGACGTTAGTTAAGATGGCTATTGTAATTTCTGAAGAATCCGAGGTCAACTGAGGTCAAGATCGACCTTGAACAAGAATGTCGTTCCAGTTCTACCTTGATCAAGAATGAGAAAGAATATCTCACATGAATACAGTAAAGTAGCAGGATGATAGACAGGCAAGTGTTTTAAACGTTTTGAACTCTGGCAATATTGCTGGACCTTTCTTGTAAACTCATAAAACCCCTGAGATCACAGGTCGATCCTGCAAACTGCTGCGTGTGCATGAATGTGAATGTGCGTGCGTGCGTGCGTGTGTGTGTGTGTGTGTGTGTGTGTGTGTGTGTGTGTGTGTGTGTGTGTGTGTGTGTGTGTGTGTGTGTGTGTGTAAACTTGCATTCCTTATCGCTGAGAAGCAATTACTCCTTTAGTCTCTCTTTTCAGAATGAAAAAAGGTTAGAATTTAACTCCCATAATCTACGCGCGTCTCAGAAGACGCGCTGTTTTCTTAACTACCTTCTTTGAGAGTCCTTAAAGAGGCGAGGAAGGAACATGCAAGGTATGGTGTTGGAGTAGCTGTGGATAGAGTGGCTGTGGATGGAGTGGCTGTGGATGGAGTGCCTGTGGATGGAGTGCCTGTGGATGGAGTGCCTGTGGATGGAGTGCCTGTGGATAGAGTGGCTGTGGATAGAGTGCCTGTGGATGGAGTGCCTGTGGATGGACTGCCTGTGGATGGAGTGCCTGTGGATGGAGTGCCTGTGGATAGAGTGGCTGTGGATAGAGTGGCTATGGATAGAGTGCCTGTGGATGGAGTGCCTGTGGATGGACTGCCTGTGGATGGAGTGCCTGTGGATGGAGTGCCTGTGGATAGAGTGGCTGTGGATAGAGTGGCTGTGGATGGAGTGGCTGTGGATAGAGTGGCTGTGGATAGAGTGGCTGTGGATAGAGTGGCTGTGAATAGAGTGGCTGTGGATAGAGTGGCTGTGGATAGAGTGCCAGTGGATGGAGTGCCTGTGGAAGGACTGCCTGTGAATGGAGTGCCTGTGGATGGAGTGCCTGTGGATGGAGTGCCTGTGGATGGAGTGCCTGTGGAAGGACTGCCTGTGAATGGAGTGCCTGTGGATGGAGTGCCTGTGAATGGAGTGCCTGTGAATGGAGTGCCTGTGAATGGAGTGCCTGTGAATGGAGTGCCTGTGAATGGAGTGCCTGTGGATGGAGTGCCTGTGGATGGAGTGCCTGTGAATGGAGTGCCTGTGAATGGAGTGCCTGTGGATGGAGTGCCTGTGGATGGAGTGCCTGTGAATGGAGTGCCTGTGGATGGAGTGCCTGTGGATGGAGTGCCTGTGAATGGAGTGCCTGTGAATGGAGTGCCTGTGGATGGAGTGCCTGTGGATGGAGTGCCTGTGGATGGAGTGCCTGTGAATGGAGTGCCTGTGAATGGAGTGCCTGTGGATGGAGTGCCTGTGGATGGAGTGCCTGTGAATGGAGTGCCTGTGGATGGAGTGCCTGTGGATGGAGTGCCTGTGAATGGAGTGCCTGTGAATGGAGTGCCTGTGGATGGAGTGCCTGTGGATGGAGTGCCTGTGAATGGAGTGCCTGTGGATGGAGTGCCTGTGGATGGAGTGCCTGTGGATGGAGTGCCAGTGGATGGAGTGCCAGTGGATGAGAAAGAAATTATTTGTATTTTCACGAGTAAAAAATATCTGAATATCGTAAATCAGAGTGAAAAAAACAAACAAACAAACAAACAAACCTAGAATGGGAGAGTTGTAATGGGATGAGAGTAAATGGGATTAATAGACCTACGGAAGTAGCTGCGGTAATGTGAAACAAAGGGCAGTAGAAAGACTTTTATTGTTGAATTACAAGAACAGAATGAAAAGTGACATATGACATGCGAGTGCCAATGTTCATGAGTACATCATAGTGCCAATGTTCATGAGTACATCATAGTGCCAATGTTCATGAGTACATCATAGTGCCAATGTTCATGAGTACATCATAGTGCCAATGTTTATGAGTACATCATAGTGCCAATGTTCATGAGTACATCATAGTGCCAATGTTCATGAGTACATCATAGTGCCAATGTTCATGAGTACATCATAGTGCCAATGTTCATGAGTGCATCATAGTGCCAATGTTCATGAGTACATCATAGTGCCAATGTTCATGAGTACATCATAGTGCCAATGTTCATGAGTACATCATAGTGCCAATGTTTATGAGTACATCATAGTGCCAATGTTCATGAGTACATCATAGTGCCAATGTTCATGAGTACATCATAGTGCCAATGTTCATGAGTACATCATAGTGCCAATGTTCATGAGTACATCATAGTGCCAATAGAGAACTCAAGTGAGATGTTCATCATTAAAATCATAGTCATGTTAATAGAAATCATAGTGAATGCATATTTACATATAGTGAATGTTCATGGAAACACAAGGCATATTTAATGATGCATATAGTCAACTTTGTCCATGAGTAATTATATGAATGTTCTATACACTAGGAATGAGAACCAGCTAGACTTTTATCACACTGTATAGGTATCGTATAAAGCAAGTGACATAGATTACGAGGTAACAGGAATTACACTGAGAAGTGAAAACCCAGCTTAGAAAAATTCAGAATTTCATCACACTGAGAAGTGACAACCAGCTAGACTATGCCAGTAACAGGTCATCACACTGAGAAGTGGCGACCAGCTAGACTATGCCAGTAACAGGTCATCACACTGAGAAGTGACGACCAGCTAGACTATGCCAGTAACAGGTCATCACACTGAGAAGTGACAACCAGCTAGACTATGCCAGTAACAGGTCATCACACTGAGAAGTGACGACCAGCTAGACTATGCCAGTAACAGGTCATCACACTGAAAAGTGACGACCAGCTAGACTATCGCCAGTAACAGGTCATCACACTGAGAAGTGACGACCAGCTAGACTACCCCCAGTAACAGGTCATCACACTGAGAAGTGACAACCAGCTAGACTATGCCAGTAACAGGTCATCACACTGAGAGTGACGACCAGCTAGACTATGCCAGTAACAGGTCATCACACTGAGAAGTGACGACCAGCTAGACTATGCCAGTAACAGGTCATCACACTGAAAGTGACAACCAGCTAGACTATGCCAGTAACAGGTCATCACACTGAGAAGTGACGACCAGCTAGACTATGCCAGTAACAGGTCATCACACTGAGAAGTGACGACCAGCTAGACTATGCCAGTAACAGGTCATCACACTGAGAAGTGACGACCAGCTAGACTATGCCAGTAACAGGTCATCACACTGAGAAGTGACGACCAGCTAGACTATGCCAGTAACAGGTCATCACACTGAGAAGTGACGACCAGCTAGACTATGCCAGTAACAGGTCATCACACTGAGAAGTGACGACCAGCTAGACTATGCCAGTAACAGGTCATCACACTGAGAAGTGACAACCAGCTAGACTACGCCAGTAACAGGTCATCACACTGAGAAGTGACGACCAGCTAGACTATGCCAGTAACAGGTCATCACACTGAGAAGTGACGACCAGCTAGACTACGCCAGTAACAGGTCATCACACTGAGAAGTGACAACCAGCTAGACTATGCAGTAACAGGTCATCACACTGAGAAGTGACAACCAGCTAGACTACGCCAGTAACAGGTCATCACACTGAGAAGTGACAACCAGCTAGACTACGCCAGTAACAGGTCATCACACTGAGAAGTGACAACCAGCTAGACTATGCCAGTAACAGGTCATCACACTGAGAAGTGACGACCAGCTAGACTATGCCAGTAACAGGTCATCACACTGAGAAGTGACGACCAGCTAGACTACGCAGTAACAGGTCATCACACTGAGAAGTGACAACCAGCTAGACTATGCCAGTAAAGGTCCATCACACTGAGAAGTGACAACCAGCTAGACTATGCCAGAAACAGGTCATCACACTGAGAAGTGACAACCAGCTAGACTATGCCAGTAAACAGGTCATCACACTGAGAAGTGACAACCAGCTAGACTATGCCAGTAACAGTCATCACACTGAGAAGTGACAACCAGCTAGACTATGCCAGTAACAGGTCATCACACTGAGAAGTGACAACCAGCTAGACTATGCCAGTAACAGGTCATCACACTGAGAAGTGACAACCAGCTAGACTACGCCAGTAACAGGTCATCACACTGAGAAGTGACAACCAGCTAGACTATGCCAGTAACAGGTCATCACACTGAGAAGAGACAACCAGCTAGACTATGCCAGTAACAGGTCATCACACTGAGAAGTGACAACCAGCTAGACTATGCCAGTAACAGGTCATCACACTGAGAAGTGACGACCAGCTAGACATGCCAGTAAACAGGTCATCACACTGAGAAGTGACGACCAGCTAGACTATGCCAGTAACAGGTCATCACACTGAGAAGTGACGACCAGCTAGACTACGCCAGTAACAGGTCATCACACTGAGAAGTGACGACCAGCTAGACTACGCCAGTAACAGGTCATCACACTGAGAAGTGGCGACCAGCTAGACTATGCCAGTAACAGGTCATCACACTGAGAAGTGACAACCAGCTAGACTATGCCAGTAACAGGTCATCACACTGAGAAGTGACAACCAGCTAGACTATGCCAGTAACAGGTCATCACACTGAGAAGTGACAACCAGCTAGACTATGCCAGAAAACAGGTCATCACACTGAGAAGTGACGACCAGCTAGACTATGCCAGTAACAGGTCATCACACTGAGAAGTGACAACGAGCTAGACTATGCCAGTAACAGGTCATCACACTGAGAAGTGACAACCAGCTAGA